ACTGGCTGAGTAAAGCAATATAAGCAAATGATCATAGGCCATGGGGTGATATAGATTAGCCATACCTTATATTATTACATTATACACACTCTAATAAATAATCAGAGCAAACTATTAAATTAGAATCAATGTGATGCAGAGAAATATTAAAGTCAAATTTATCATTGAAATCAAGTTTGCTTTCTATGAAGTGTTCTATTATACATACATCCTATTATTAAAAAATCGTAAGCATCAACAGAATGTATTTGACTTCCAAATGTCAATATCCTCTAAATCTGAGTAAAGAAAGGTTATTAGCTCTAAACTTCCTCTGTAAATAGGATTGCTGTAGATAGCAATATATTTAAAGCACTTATCAAAAGATGATAGGTAATAATAACTATCTGATGCACAGTAAACTATTATACTATATGATATCAGAAAAGAAATATTCTTCAATGATATTCTATAAATACCATGATTCCCAGAGAGAATTAAGCAGTAGAGATATTATAATTCATTCATTATTTCTATTGTACAATATTCATTGCTTTCAAATGTGTTCAATGAAAACTATTATTATCTTGTGAAGAAAAGTTTTCCTTTAATTTGAAAGGAGTGGATAAAGCACAGAACTTGAGCACTCCATTTGGACTTGAAGCTAAATCATACATTTTAATGGGGAATTCTACATATATTCAAGTACAATTCCAGAAAACTCAAAGGGTAAAATACAGTACCAAAAGTTCTGAAGTTATCTAAGCAGAAGAAAATTATCAAAATCAATTGTAATAGCCATAGGTTATAAAATCTCTGTAAACAGCCAGAAAACCTTCATTTCATCAAAATAAGAAATCACATTTTATAGGAAAAATATCATAATCAAAAGTTATTTGTGTAACCCATACATACTAAATTTTACTTATATTTTATTTTAGAACAGTATCTACCTGAATTTTCATCTGTCAGTGTTCAGGTTCATTGGAGAGGGAGGTAAGGTGAGCAACACAGAACGTATTCAAGAAATATGCATTAAAAATATACCTTCATAATCCACCATTCTTTCCACACCATGTCAGATCTCACTGACATCATACTTCCACGAAGAATAAAGAAAAAGTAAGAATATATTCTCCCAATTCTTCTTGCCGGCCCTCTGTGTACATTCACTCCCTGTCGCTGGCAGCTAACACTGTAATAACAGCCTCCACTATTTTGTATCTATTCCAAATGACAAACTAAAGTGAACAAATGATATGCAAAGGCAACTGCTTGTCCACAGTTTCAAAATAATGATGTTTGGAATAACACATGTGACTGATCTTATAACTTTCTAAAATACTTAGGTAAGCGAAATAAAAACTTTTTGATCTCTCAAAAAAAACAATGATATAGCTAATACCTGAACAGAAATTGCAAGACAGCTTTGTCTATTTGGTTTAGTTCATTAAAATCTAAATTTTCTGCTCTAAAACAAATCAATCATTTTATGTTCTAGATCAAATTCCTTTCATCTTAATATAATGTAAATACTAATAATCCCCATTTTGCCTACATTTTCCTCTGTTTCAAGAGTCTATTGTCACACTGCTGTCATCAACGTAACAGCAAAATCAGAACGGGAGAGACTCTGGCAGACAATTTAATGTTGCTGCTTGCTAAAAAATTCAAATACGTGAAATTGGCTCCACCCTCAGTAAGGCTATGGTGTTAGATCTTGACAAATATTATCATTGCTTTATGATTAATGTGCTTTCTGAATTTTCATTCACTACTGAAACTCTAAGGCACTTTCAGGCTGCACAGAATTAATGTTACTCAACCAGAAACGAATTTTACCAAACAGATATTCCATCATCAAATAAAAATATGTCTCGAAAACTCTAAACCATAGCTATTTTTTATGATTTTCAATTGTTCACCACAGAAAAGTATTACTCAATATAGACCATGAGAAACTCCAGTTGAGCACAAAATATTAAGGAATTAAGCCTCTCAACCTCTGTCCTAGTGTAACAAAATACTGCTTTACGCCTAACTTAAATGTATTTTTATACTGTAACCGTCAGTGCATGCTACTGATACTTTAAGCATTTTGGTGCTAATAATTACATTATAAAATATATGGCATAGGATTTAAATCTCAACAGCAAAGATAGTACACTATTAAATACAAAATAAGAATATATAAACTGAAATATGGGCACATAGGTTAGGAATAATAATGAAACAAATGAGAAAAGCTACTAATCTTTGGTAAGAAAAAAAGGAAGTTCATGTTACCTTCAAACTTAAAAACATTTTTCAAAGCTACTATTTATTTATAACATATCCACATTCAAACAGAATTTGGGGCATATTAAAATAAACGGAACTCCATAACATTTTCATGTCACAATCTATTTTAGTGTAGAAGTTTAGGAAGGAAAATTAAAAGCCATTAAACACCTTATTGTTGAGATTAATAAGATAAAATTTTATAGCTTAATACACTCCCTAGAAAATAAAAATGCACTGAAACTACATTTTAATTAGGTTTCAATTAAAACTACTCATACAAATTTAATAATATAGAAATAGAAAAATAAATAAATGCAATGAATAAAAAGTAAAATATAAAAAATGGTTTCAATAAAGTCAACTTATTCTACATAAAGAAAACGTTTATTCTCCAAGAAAAAGATGGCAAGATAATGGAGGAAAGAAAGCAAAAGCAACAATTTAAAAGACAATAAAGAGAAATTATAAAACAGTAAGAGAACTTTTACAAACCAGAGCTTGGTAAAAATTAAGAAGACTAGTAACATCAGGGTCCGTAACTGTGCAAGGAAGGAGACCCACTCGATAACTCAGGGGTATTAACTGGTTTCAAGAGAAACTTTTCCAGAGGCAATGTGCTAATAGTAAGTGAGATTCACCAAGTACAACCCTTGGACCAGCAACTGCGCTTCTCTCCGGAAGTCTACTGAACAGAAATACTTAAACATGCACACAAAGATGGATGTGCTGCACAGGACGTCCACTGCAGTCCTTCCCAAGAGCCACAAGATACATAATCAAACACACACTAACAGAATAGCAGGTCAAGTCCTAGATGAGTTTAGCATTCCTAGCCTGAAAATCTGAAATCCAAAACGCTCCAAAAGCTAAAAACTTCAGCTCACTGCCATTATGCCACAAGTGGAGATTTTTCACATTTAAATTCATAGGATAAGTTATACTCAAACAACTGAAAATTGCACACGAGTACAAAACATCAATGAATGTTGTGTTCCAACTTGGGTCTATCACCAACATTTCATAATGTATGTGTAAAAGTAGTCCAGAAGCCAAAGTCTGAAACACTTTTGGTCCCAAGCATTTTGGATAATGGATACTCAGCCTTCTAACCATTTAATAAAATACCACACAACCACGACAAACAATGAGGTTAATGTATTTATATTCATGGAATGCGCTAAGCTTTAGGGCCTATTGCAATGAAAGAAAAGCCACACAACAAAATACAAACTAAGGAATATTTTTAAAACTATATTTTTGTATATGAGTGAAAAGGGAGAAAGTGGACTAAAAGAAACAAATCAAACCTCCAACAGTTTACTTTTAATAAGCACTAAGGGTGGAATACAGGTTGAAATAATTCTTTAAGGTTTGTTTACTATAATACTTCCATAAAGTTTGAAATTCCTTCAGAAAATACTGTTTTGCTTATAATAAAAATGCTAGGTACTAATGATATAACACATTATGCAAATATTACAGACATTATGAAATCTGTAGCTGATGAAACGATACCACCATAAAGAAAATTCTCCTACATAGGATCCTGTCATGTTAGTGACAAAATGTGAGATTATTTGCTTACAATTTCTCATTCTGTATAGTTAACACTAAGGCCTAAAAGATAAATTTTTTAATGTAGGTAACTATGAGATGTTTGTAAGAAAAGACCTTTTAGAGAAAAATATACATCTTACACATCCTATTAAAGGAACGCTTCAGAAATTCTCAACTGTAATTTTTTAAACTCCCAATAACAACACTTGTCAAAATACTGGAAGACATTTTGAAGGGTTTAGACTATCTCAAATAAAGACCCTAAAAAAATCATAAAATTACTATTTCTTTGTAAAAAAAACTACCAACTGTATATTTTTCAAGATTTTTTAAGAACCACTACTATTTCTCAGACTTAGTCACCTGCCTTTACTAAGTTCTTCATTAACATTACGCTCTAACCTCTACCCAAAGATTGATCTTTTTAAGAAAGCCTAAGAGTCTGTGTTTTGTATGATACACAGAATTTTCTAAAAGACTGCCCATTGCATGTACTTTGGAACCTTCACAATATGCATACTCCTATGACAAATTCTGCTCATCACTCAGAAACAGTAATTAGTGTACCTCATAATGCGAGGCATGGACAACAATTCTGTCACCCAACCCAAGGGACAAGGAGCTATGTCTAGAGATTTGACTCTCACAAACGGAGAGTGGGGGCAGTGAGTGCTACCGGCATCATGTGGCAGAAGTCAGGTGTCCTGTGCAGCACTCTAACATGCAGAGCACAGCCTCCCACCAGAGCATCATGTGGCCGCAAATACCAACAGTGCTGAGGATGAGGAAACCTGGACAGACAAGAGCCACATCGTCCACTGTTACTCTTTCTTCTGGTGACTACTGAATGTTCAAAGCTAAGGCAGCTAAGCTAGTGTTTCTTTCTCACCTGACCCTTTTCTCCCTGCTATATCATGCTGTGTGATAAGACATTTCAGTTAGTAATGAACAGTATTCTGAGAAAATATCAGAAATGCCAATTGCAACATCTTTCAAGTAGGTAGTTATACAACTGTTAGTACTGTATAATATAAAAAACAAAGTTGTTTTTGAGATAATGTTTCTCTATGTTGTCTACTCAGAGCTGTAATTTCTGAATCCTAAGAATAAGTCATTCTCCAACCACTACCACGCCTGGCTGCAAGTAGTACTTTACATTTGAAAAATGCAATTCTTCTTACCTTAAATAAACAACGGCATATGTATTCATAAACCATGTGTTTTAATGAGCTGATGAGAGACTGGATTCTCTGTTCAGTACTTTCAGCATCCTATGGATTACAATTTGAAAATTAAAAAAGCATTAGGAAATTTATGAATATCTGAAATTTCATAGTTTAATCACTCTTATCAATTATTTCTCCAGATTCAAAGCTAATTCTTAAGGAGTATATTTGCTTACTAAACTCAAGGAATTAAATAAGTAAGTGCATTGGACTTTTACACTAATATAAAAAAACTTGATTTTTATTAAAGATATAAAGTTAAAGTTTTTAATAAGTGAAAATTACAATTGCTTCTCAATAATAATAGTCAAATTTTAACTTATCACTTTGATTCCTACAGCATATAGCATTAAAAAATAGTATCTATTTCAATCTGGGTTAAAGCTACTTCAATTGCTTGTATTATAATTACCAAACCAACCCCAAACTATGAGCGAGTTACCTTATATTTCTCATTCTCAATCTAAGAATTTGGACAATCTTTAATCATCCCTTCAGGTTGAATAAGGATAATAACTTTGGTGCAGTAAAAATTCGTAACTTTAGTTTTCAGGCTAAATTGGTACTATCATAGTACATATTTGCTGTAATTTGAACAGATACCACTAATGGCTATTTCTTTCAATTAAGACAAAAATGCTTGAGATAGTAGTAGAGCAGGGAAAGGCTGTAGATGAGGCAGCCGTTCCCCTAGTGTGGTACGAGCTCTGAATCTCATTTCAGGATCACCGGAAGAACACGTACATTGCAAAGTTCAAAGCTGTTATAACAATAGGACTACATTTGTTTGCTTCACTGGGATTACAACTAACAAGAACTCTAATAAATTTTAGTAGTTTAAAAAATGCTACCAGGGTTAGCAGTGAATTTGTGACACTGCTATAAAACATTGGAAATTTGTACTCAAATGCATCAGTCTAGGCTTCTGACTGTCAGCAGCACGTTCTCACTAGGAGAGCGGCTCATTCATGGTGCATGCGGCAAGTGTCCTCCTCAGCTTAAAATTTATTAAGAAAGACAATGCGTGAAATTAAGACTTAGATTCACTGAAATGTACTCTTTCGTAAAATGGAGTACAGTATCCATAAGATCTAATAGTTTTCAAAGCATGGGGAAGCATGTTTTTATTCTACATATTTAAAATTAGATTACTTTTTATATTAACTAATTAAAATGAGTATATAATCACAAACAAGCATATACACACACAAAGGCTATATTATCTATCCCAGAACTAAGGTTACTTAGAGGAGTATTAGCATTAGCTTTTATAAAAGATAAAGAACAATTAATGCACTCATTACATCTGATCAAACTTCTATTTATCAGTTCTCATACCAGAATAAATGTAGTTAATGGATGTTTCAACATAATTTTTGACCAAAGAATAAAGAGAAACTTAAATAAAGCTATCACAATATACTTTCCGTGCAATTTATAAGGAAATTTTAATACAAAAAGATAAGCATAAATTATTACCTTTAGCTTTATACAATACAGTGAATGAAAATTACGATCATATGTTATGAACTAACTCTCAGACTTAACCAAGTTCTGTTTTTGTAAAAATTTATCATATTGTAAATAGTATGACTAAATTTAACATATTTTACATTTTTGAAGTATTTTATGCTGAAGACCAAAAGGCCAATTATTCATTTTTTACCATTTCCTACCATCTTAAAATCTGCTGTTCATCCAAAGGAAATTAAAAATGCATACTGAAGAAACGTCTATCTACCATGAGTAAGCAGACAAATTTCCACTAATGAAACTAATCTCCAAAGAATAAGTTCTTCATTAGGTACAATTTTATTTGAAATCTCAGCATACGAACAACATCAAACGATATACACTGGTGGAAGAGAAATTAGTAAAAAAAATCTAAGTAATATTTAATATCAAATAATGGATTTATAAAATAATTCACTGATAATATTAAGCAGGGTATGAATACAAAGTTTTTTTGAACTCTGTTGTCTGCCATATAACTTCAAGAACCTACAAAAATGTCTGGCATATATAAGAATGCAATAAACACTTACTGGATGAACAGCCTCTCCTCAGAAAAGAAGATGCAAGCAGCCCTACTTGAATATGAGATTTTGCCTCCCAGTTTAACTAAAGGAAAAAGGTGTTCTCTTCCAGGAAAGTTTTAAAAACCGTATTAGTATTGCACCAAATGCAAGATCAAGAGTAAGAATTTTGATGAAATTAGTTTAACAAAAATATTTTTGAAACAAAGTAAAAAGACAGTAAACAACATCTGCAACACATGACAAAGGCTTAAGGTCTTAGTATAAGGATGTCTTAAAACTTGTTTAGGAAGTAGGACAATAGCTCGTTCTCACATGTGAAGGGGATTGCAAGACAGAGAGGGAAGAGGGGAGAGAAGGAATGAGAAGGAATTCACATGTGATATGCACATGTATCAGCGGCACACAGGAAGTGCAAACATGTACTGCTAACATGTACTAAAAATATTTTAAATATTAGTAACATAAAAGAAAAGATACAAAATTCACCAAAGAAAAAATTCAAATATTAGCATATTTACTTGTTTTCTGTGTAATATTTACAAGTGATCAAAGATTTGCAAAATCAGTAAAATACTTTTTCAACCATTTAAAAGAATAATTACTGAAGGTATTCATATCAGCTGTTAACATGTAAATGGAAAGGTCACTGGACCAGTTTAGCATACCAGCAGGATACATCTCTGAAGGATAACTATTAGACATTTGTCAGAGGATTACAAATATGTGTCTTGGTTCCAGCTACTATCCAAGTATAGAAACTTAAAATAAACAGAGAAGTCAATGCAAGACAGCAGAAATGCCACTGACCTAAAGACTGGTCATAGAAGTTGATTCTGTTTCTGCCCTATGCACTGGAATACACACTTGCTGCTCCAAGGTGTAACTAAGAAGTCCCTCTACTCGGTGCTCTGAGGAAGTCAAACCTTCCATCGAGGTATCACAGTCAGCAGTCCTAGTGGTCCAATCCTCCCATCCCAGGCACTCAACAAGCAGGTCCAGCACCTGTCCCTGCCCCTCCTATTTCATCAACACATCCAGCTGAGGCCGCTGACTCTAAAGGAGAGGCAAAGCCATCCCTGCTTGCATCCTGACCATATTTCTCACGTGAGTATAAGAAACTCACTCTAATCTGCCAAGTGTGGTGGTAATAGGAAAGTCAGTACAGATAACCAAAACAACGTTCCCACAGGACGTAAGAAGTAAGGGATGGTATAACTTAACAAATACTACGCAGGTATATATTTACCAACATGGAAGTAATATGCTTTTTCAATTACAATAGAACCTTTTAGTGCAAACAATTGTTATCCTTTAGTAAATCCTTCCTTCATGAGGACACAATCCTGTGAAGACAGTATAACCCATGTCCCCCATATCTAGAACAATACTTGACATATCTTACAGCCCAAATAATGAAGCTATACTCCAGGTAATGGGATTATAGACATTATTTCTGACCTTTATGAATCGTTGGGGTTTTTAACTATCACATATTACTTATGAATTTATTCTTAGAACATAAACTGTTTCCATCTAAAAAACTGCCACATTGGAACAGTTTGTTAACAGCATACAACAAAATGAAGGCACTGGTTTCTTTTATATGGAGTTTTAAACTGCTACATAGAGGCCGGGCGTGGTGGCACACGCCTGTAATCCCAGCTCTTGGGAGGCTGAGGCAGGAGGATCACTGGGAGTTCGAGACCAGCCTGGGCTACAAAGTGAGCTCAAGGCCAGCCTGAACTGCATAGCGAGACCTTGTCTCAAAAGACCAAAAAAAAAGTGCTACATGGAGTCTTTTGGAGCATAATTCTGTAAGTTTTTTCAGGAAATTATGATAAAGTAAATACCTTCTAAAGTGATCTGTCTAATTCAGCTTCAGGGTAACCAATAGCTTACCTGTTTGCTTTGCAGAGCTCGCTGGAAAAGCCGGAGAAATGAAGCCAAACTAAAACGGTACATGTTGTTAATTTTGGACAGGTCAGAGATAATGAAGTACATCTTGCTGGCGCTCTCTGCCAGAGGGAGATAGGCATCCCGCTCCTGTTCACGGGAGAAGTGGGAAACACCTTAGCACGCACTAGTGCTTTACTGCCACCTACAGACCGCTGCGCACACTTCCAGCTACAAGCTTTTCTGCACACGACAAATCAAGGAACAAACTGAAAAATTTGTAACTAAAAGGAAAAACAGAATTATTTTTATGAGTCTGAGGACAATATATATTTTAGTCTGTTCAGGACACTACAACAAAATATAGTAAACTGGTTCTGCAACAGCAAGATTTATTATTTGGCAGCTACAGCAGTCAAGACAGTGTGGATACTGGGAAAAGACAGGGCCGGGGACATAGCTCAGCGGCACAGTGCCTGCCTGGCAAGTGAAGGGTCCTGAGTTTAATTCCTGGAACCACACCAAAAAAAAAATTTATTCCTCCCCCTTCTGGAAGCTGCAAAGTAAGAAAGACAAAGGTACCAACAGGTTTGGTGTCCAATGAGGATCCATTTCCCGGTTCATAGAAGCAGTTAACTCTTGTCGTGTCCTTACACAGTAGAAAGGGAAGAGGAAAAAAGGGGCCAACGCTGCAATTAAACCTGAGGACTGGGGTTTTAGTTTAGAAAAACAACTCGTACATTAACATCTTTTGTCTTCAAAGAAAAACACAATCACGTGTGCCCTGGGTTCGCCACCACTGGAATACATGATAGAAACCAGTTGGGATCAGAAAATAGATGATGCGGTTTTACATTTAAAAAGAGAATCAGTGTGGGTAATTCAAGAGGGCATGGTACTTACTACAGGCTATCCCTGAAGCAGAAAAAAGTTCAAATTTGAGACGACTGGTACCAATAAGAACACTTTTAACTAAAGGAAGAGAAGATATCTTTAACAGATGTGCACTTTACAATAATAAAGCACCTAGAAGTGTTCAAAGTAAAGAAAAAAGGAACTAATAATTATAAAGCCTTTCATTTTAAGTGAAGGTAAAGAATAAACAATAGGGGGGCTGGGGATTTAGCTCAGCGCAAAAGCGCCTGCCTGGCAAGCGCAAGGTCGTGAGTTCGGTTCCCAGTACCGGAGAAAAACCAAAAAAAAAAAAAAAAAAGAATAAACAATAGGAATGCGAATATCATAGGATTAAATGGCCTCAAGAACGGAATTCTGAGAAGGTTCTCCATGTTATTATGATCAAATCCCTGGGAATACAAATAGGGTAAAATTATGCATGTGATTCATAAATGCTATTAAATAAGATATAGAAAATTAAAAATGCTTTTAGCAGAAAATAACAGGCCGGGTGTGGTGGTACATGTCTATACTCCCAGCACTTGCAAGGCTGGGGCAGGAGGACCATTGAGAGTTTGAGACCAGCCTGGGCTTAAAAGTGAGCTCAAGGCCCTCCTGAACTGTATAGCAAGACCCTATCTCAAAAAGACAAAAAGAAAGAAAAGAAGAAAAAGAGAAAAGGAAAATAACAATCATGACATTTGCAGAATATAGCACTGACAGCACTAGAACCAGGTCATAAATTCACTCTCGTTCTGGTTTTAATACAGCGCTTCCCCAATTGACAAAATTAGAAACAAGTAAGTGTAGCATTTCAACAGAGACGGAAAAGCCTGGAGAAAAGTTGGGAAAGTTATTGAGGAGAACGGAAATGAATTAAAAGAGAGCAAGTGAGAGATCAGGTCAAGGGAAAGGTCATTCATGGTAACATTAACTTCCCTGGCTGCCAGAGATTTTTGAACAAAGGTTAGTTGCTGAATACATGACAGGAAAAGATGTACTGTTATGAAGTTGAAATCTTGCTAAAGGAAATACAAAAAGAATAAAGTGAAAAGGATTTAAGGTCATTTGCAAGAAAATAATTCAGATCATCACATTAGTGGGGTCCACTATAACCAGGAAAGAAAAATGTTTTTAATGCAAATGATAGCTTATAACCTTAGTAGTATTTCCAACTTGCCTTAAAAAATTCCAAAAATGGTAGTATAGTTTGAGTCTAGAATGTTCCCCAAAGGGCCATGTGTTAAATAAGGGTCTAGTTCCCAACCCATAGTGTCACTAGGAAGTGGTGAAACCTTCATGAAAGTTAAGAAGGGTGACCTCATGAAAGATCGTACGTCACAAGGAGAGTGCCTTCAAAGAAGACTGTGGGATCACGGTCTCTGTCTCTCTCTGTCTCTCCGTCTCTGTCTCTCTGTCTCTCATACACACACACACACACACACACACACACACACACACACACACACCCCATGAGGTAAACAGCTTCACCATGCACTCAGGCCATGCTGTATCGCCCTGGCATAATCCCTAAAGCAAATGGGCCAACTGACCGCAAACCTAAACACCCAAACCTTGAGTCAAAATAAACCTTTCTTCTTTTTTAAGTTTATTCATCTCAATTATCTGTTGTCAGAAAGCTGACTAGAACAAATGGCAGAGATTCTCTACAACTCATTTTCAATATGTTCGTTTTCAATTTCAGTTAAAAAAAAAATGTAACTCTACCTGCGATAACATTGTCAAGAGATCAGTAAAACCCACCAAGGTATACTGACCAGCAATCTTTATTCTCAGTGCACCCAAAATATTAACAGTCTTTCTAGGGTCAGAATCGCACCTGAGGCTCCAATGTCTTCAAGTGGCCACTGAAGCTGCCACTGCCTCCCCCTCCTCCTCCCCCTCCTCTTCCCTTTGTGATATAATCTTTCCCCTAAGACCTGACTCTATACTTTTTATCATGTTGCCAAAAACATTTAGGAAGACCTGATATAAAAACCACAAAGAAGAAAGTAATTACTTGATCAAGGAAAATCTGGAGTTTGTAGGATTCTTTAAGGGAGTCTTGAATAAGTGCACTGCTTGCTTTAGTCTGATTCAGAGATTCAATCAAATCCTTATTCTCCAAAATATTGCCTTGAGATGTGGCAAGTGCCTGTAACAGAGATTTACAACATAACTAACCATTAATAAACATAATGCAATAAGCAATTAAAGGAAGTCTACTTCAACGACCATTCATTCGAGGATGTGTATGGAAACTTACATTATTTGAGAAGACCTTCAACATTTTTGGCCTTCCTATATCAAATGATATATATAAAATGATATATATCAAAAAAAATCAAATGGTATAATATATAGTAATTATATCAAATGATATAATATATAATAAAGAAAATATTAGTCAAAATTATTTGTCTATACAAATGGCTAAGATCTTGTATACAATTATCTAGCTGTTTTGGTTTAAATCTTATTTTAGGATATTAGTATGCCTTTGGAAAAAAATATTCTGAAAGTTCTGTGGATTTTTTTAAGTACATTGTTATTTATATTATTTTCTATTTATTAAAAAAATTAATATGAAAAATATACTGCATTAATTTTACCTCTAAAAGAGATTCCTCAAGCTTGGCTAATTGTATTTTCTTATCTTCTTCCTGTTGTAATAGCTTTGTTTTCTGTTCCTCTAAATCAGGTTTCTCATGCTGAATGGTTAAAGCTAAAAGCTTAAAAAAAAAAAAGTAAGGTAATTCTACCAACAGGGTTTAAAATAAAACATTCATTAGAACAGGCCTTGTATTTGAGCAACTACTACAAGTCTTATAACACTGTCACCTCATTTAGTTTTTCTAATTAGACATGAGACACCTTCACAATTACATCTCACAAAAAGAAAGAAGCTGAAATGGTTTAACTTATCAGTCAAATGTTTTATAGCAGAGCTATAAGAAATTACATTACTTATTATGCCAATGTGCAATATTTAATCTTAGAGTAAATATTTTAAAGCTATATAACTAATATTATCTACTGATAAATATTCACATTCAAAATAAAAAGATATATTACCTAAAATATGTCATCAAAACCAAAATGAGGTATCACTTCAACTAGAATCGTTTCAATTCAAAAGACAAATAATAAGAACGGGCAAAGAAAAGAGAAAAGAAAGAAGCAAGGGAAAAAATACATATGTATGTACAAGGATAGCTGCGATAATCTACTGTTCATGTCTATTGGTTTATTGAAAGGAACATTTAATCCTTCAATTTTTTTTAGCAATTTTGCATGCTTATATCTGGTAATCTGAACAACTAATTTGAAGACTACAATATGCAATATAACAACCATTGTTGAATTCCTACCACCTTGTTTAGTAAAGCTCTGTATTGTTTGTAACTTTTTTATTCTCTTTTTAATTGTTTGATCGATCTTGCATTCTTACATCTGATAATCTGAGCAACTCTACTGAAGATAACTGTATGTAATATAACAACCATTGTTAAGTTCCTATCGTCTTGTTTTGAAATTCGGTATCATTTTTATTGTTTTGTTTTTGTCTTTATTGTTGTTACTTTGTTACTGTTTTTTTCTCTTTAAAAAAAAAACAAAGAAAAAAATGGGCAAAGATGTAGGAAAAGTAAAGCATTCCTACATGGTTGGTGCGAGAGTAAAATAGTACAGCTCTTTTTGAAAAGTTTGTCTCTCAACTTGTTAAACATACACTTTCCAGCAATTCCACTAAGAAAAGATTAAAGTGTACAGTTTGTATGGTACATGAACTCTGTCTTTGAAAGCTGTGAAGCTACCAGGCACGGCGGCACACGCCTGGAATCCCACACTTGGGAGGCTGAGCCAGGAGGGTAGTCACACATTTGAGTTCAGTCTGGGCTACACAGGGAATTCAAGACTGGCATACGGAGTCCCTGAGAACTACACAGGGAGACCTGTCTCAAATCCAAACAAACAAATACATCCGTCAAACTCAAAAATGCTCAAACTGTTAACTTTGAAAATCAAAATAGAAGATGACACTGGTATAAAATACATAATTCAGAATCTGCCATATAACCATCTTCCCTTCCTTCTTATTAAAGTAAGACCTACACTGCTCCTTTCAGCAGTTACTGTGAAGAGCTTGTAGAGGGAAAGAGTAACTCTGCTAAGAGTAATTTTGACTGTTACATTATTTTATTTGCAAAAACCATCATCAAGTCAACCAAAAGATACTGTTGATAAAAATACACTCAGTGAGTCCTAGTCCTATGGTATAAGTAAGAAAACAGTGTGAAGGAATAGTTTTTAAAATTATAATAAAATAAATATTGCAGCAAACATACATGTTATCAAAAAAGAAAGGTATCTATTGCTAGATTGGCTAAAGAAAGGATACTGAATTAAAAGTCAACTGATATAGCCTTCAAGAAGAAAAAATGAGTAAATGTACATGGAAAAGTCTGGACATGAAAAAATCATCTTAAAATTCAAGTAATAATATTGAACAGTAATAAGCCATATGTAGATAAATTGAACTTAAAGATGCATAGATTCTAGTGATTAAAAAAAATAGCTCAGGAATCAAAGACCTTCAACTATCTAAATAAGTCAATTAACTGCAACTTTTATAAACTTCTTTTCAAAATTAAAAAATAAAGCAGAGATCTTAATCTTTATGAACAATCTATCTCTCGAATTCTAGCATAGCTGACAGAAATGAAACTAAAAATTATAGTTGTATTAGAAGAAGCAACAATTTGATGCTAGCACCCAATATACATATTTAATACAAATGATAAAATAAGCCTGAACTGTTTACTCAAAAGTACACTTTCAAACTCCCAAACTTAACTAGTAATCAGTTTAACAAACTATCTTCCTACCCAAAATATCTAACAAACACACAAAGCTAAAAAAATTCTAAATTAAATAAACTATGACTTTCTTTATCTACCTGGCCTCGCAGTCCACTTCTTGTTGTCGTAAAATTAACCTCAGTCACAATGGCAGCTGCGTCGGGCGGAATAAACGGGTCTGGGTTTCTCGTCGATAAGAACAGGCGGAATTCTTCGTTGTAGTCAATAATTTTGTCCCCTATTTGTACCACATAACGTGGCCCTTTTTTTAAAAAAACACACAATTAGCCTGAATATTTTTAATTTTGCTACATAATTTCTTAAAATATAAGATTCAGTTGCTTCTAAATATATTATAGGCTTTTAAAGATGGTCTAAAACACAGCAAAAGTTAGGTTACCAGAGATAGTATTAGACAGAATGCTCTCATAAATCAGCACTTATGCAAGCAAGAATAAATAATATTCATGAATATGCCCACAGATGCTGAAGCACTAAGGCAATGTCCAACTATATTCAGAATAGCTTTACTATCAGCTGTGTTTTGTAAATGAAATTTTTCTAAAATACCTGACTAAAGATGATAAAAATAGAAACTCCCAATTATATATTATTCTCTATTTCTAAATTCATTAGTTAAAAGGTACTTAAGATGTCATACTTGAAGATAAAATGACAAAACCTATGAATACATAATCGTAAAGATATCCACTATCAACAAAATGAAAGGTAACCTATGGACTGAAAAAAAAATTTCCAAGCCATTTACTAGATACAGTTAATACTCAAAATTTATTAAGAATTCTTACAACTCAATAGCACAGAAACAGCCCATTTTTTAAAAATGACAAAAGGTCATTAAGAGACATTTCCCCAAAGAAGATACTAAAAAACTGTAACATTTTTCAATGGTCTTTACTGACAAAACCATTCATATTATATTGTATACCATTGAGGTATAACTAATTCTTGATAAATGCTATTTAATGAAGACAAATACACAACCCTGCCACACAAATGACCAACTGGACACTGCCCAAGGAGCTATCCCACAGCTCATTAAGGACAAATGTCTGTCTTCATAGCCACTAAATACAAAGAGAATCAACACACAAATATTCTCTTGGCCTATAAGCAGCAGCATATTTGAAACCTGGAAATAACTTCTTATCATGTCCACAAACATGGGCTGGACTGGCAGCTCCTGCAAAAGGCAGCTTTGGAAGTAAGCTAAGCTCTTGTAAATCAATCCTTGCTTTTGGTTCCTACATCTGTCAGGCACACAGAATACAAGAGATCTACAAATAATCCCAGAGAATGTCAAAGCCAATCCAATGCTATAGCCATCTACTAAACACAAGTAAAATTTCCAGCAATTTATATAGTGTTGGGTATTTTGTACAATTAGCAGACTTCAAGTAGTGCTCCTGGCTATCAAGTATGCCACTCGGAGACCAATTCAAACATCCCGGTACAGAGATTCATGGGTCAGAACTACTAAACCAGCTTCGGGTGTCTCACCTCAGCACTACTGACAGTTTCTGTTGGAAAAATTATTTTTTGTCAGGAGATACTATATCATTTTAAGATCTTCCTGGCATAGACACAAAAATCTCTCTAGACATTGCTAAATGTCCCCAGAGTGTAAAATTGCTCCTGAGAGAGAAGCATTGGTCTACTAATCTTCAGGCCATTGGGCCACTGAGACCCACTTGGGCTGGCAAAGACATACCCATACGGAGAACTACTTACTAGAAACAGACACAACCATTAATCACAAACGAAACCTTCTCGTTTAACAAACATAACCTTTACATGTACCAGTTCCTCAAAATGAATGTAATATTATGCATCACAATATATATCAGTAAAAAGGTAGAAAGATGTTGAATAGAAAAACAAAACCAAAAGAAAGGTAGTCTGCTAACTCAGATATTTACCTTGAGCAACTAGATCTCTTCTCAACAATGGGTAAAGTACAGGTTCGACACCATCCATCTCTTGTATAATAAGGGTTTTCCCAAAGCGTACTGCCAACTCAAGAGCTGTCATAAAGTTACTATCCTATGAGAACAAAAAAGAATACATATTAATTCTTCCATTACCTTAGTATTTTCAAAGATCCTTAAAGATGATCAATGATGGTTTTAATAGGAATAGCCTGAATATTTAAAAAAGTAATACACATATTATAACTCAAATTACATTTATGACTTTCTCTAGCTATATTTGGTGAGGAATTCCTTCAAAAAAAATCTTTAAAATGTCACAATGTAAACAGATATATATAAAAAAATTTTTATAACTTTTCTCATGTGGCAAAAAAGAAATCCAAATAAGACCTACTCTCTAAAGCAATTTTTATGCCTGGATTACAGTATTATGAATTATAATACTATAGACAGTGTATCTCTAGATCTTTTTCATATTGTACATAAAGAACCTCCATATCCATTGAATAGCAACTCTATTTCCCTCACCATGAAAAATGTTTAATTTCCCACTATAATTGCATATTATAATAGAATACAATATTAAATTCTACCTGCATCAAATTACCAGGTATTAATAGGAGCTAACCTGTTTACATTCAAAATCAGGCACTGAATGAAGAGAAAAAGGCAAGATGATGAATTGTAGTAAACTTTTCTTGGTGTGACAGACTAGACAAAAATCTACAACCAGTCAAAAATGTTGGGCTTTCTGGCCAATGAGAGCAGTTTTAAATATTACTCCAGGCCTCCAACTAAGGTTGTAAAAAAATAAGATTCAAGTACGGTCATGCACTACCTAACAACACTGCAGTCAAGAATGGACTGCATTTACAATAGTGGTCCAACAATACCACAATAAAGCTCAGAAATCTTTACTGATTACTGAAACTGCAGCTGTAACATTACAGGACAATGTATTCTCCTCGTGTTTGTGGCAATGGTGATGTAAACAAACCTACTAACTTCTGCACCACCCTATATTTGTATCATTTACCATCACTTAGTTTAAACTGTTTATTTATCTGTCTTTTTAACTAGTTAGTGTCATATTCTTAAGAGCAGAAGCTGTGACTAGTTTACTCATTATTAAATTCCCAGGGGTTAGATCAGTATCTAGCACCAAACAAATGTTCTCATCCTTTTGTAACAGCAGGAAAACTGAACCTAGTAGTTACATTCTTTCCCCAGACCCCACAGCAGTAAGCTACAGGACCAAGTCTGGAACATGTGATTCCGATTCTAGATCTCGAGTTATTGTATTATAAGATACTATTCTTAGCTGGAATCTAAATCATAAGCACACATACTTGTTGATTAATAACTTCCAAGCGTGAGTCTTTCAAATGTGCCTTTAGCCACTCTGTAGCTTGGGAAGAAGGATCTATAAGAAATGGGCACACGCGACTCTAGTTTAAGAAAAAGAAAGGTACAGTTATTTAAATGATTAGGTTTTCATTTAAATGTCAATAAATTTATGAACATTATTTAAAAGATACTAAATGAAGTTTTCTCTCTGGCTTTGGGGAACACAAACACACAACCATATGGAGGAAACAAAGGTAGAGTTTACTGTATACAGGAACCAGAAGCCACCTTAATACAGACAACTCATTTTTGTCTTCACCCAAAGCAGGCTATTCCTACTGGACCTCCCCCATGTGACCTCACTTTACAGCCTTTACACAGCAGCTGTGTCTAGAGGTTTCACCCACTGTTCCATCAAATAAATGTAGGACTCTTACCAAAATGGTGCGGTTTAGTATATACCTTCTCCAGTGTTACCACGAGTTTTCAAGTCTAATTTTATGCTAATATTCAACAGTAAATATTTCACAATTCTGCTAGATTTTGCCTGTCAGACTAATTATTTTAAAATTTTGAAGAAGTTCTTACCCATGATTTCAAACCAATGATCTGATGCAGTTAAAAAAAAAGATAGTAATGTTTCAAAATCCTCTTTTTAGCAAAGAAAATATGCTTAACAAATTCAAAGAGTACTTACAAGTTTATGTTCATCTGATTTATACATTTCCAGAGAGATTTATACAAAATTTCTAAGGTACAATCTTATCATCATGTCCATGACTAAATTTACATTTAACAAATTATAACAGATTCAGAATTGTTCAACTTTCATTCATTCATTAATTGAATTGTTCATTCATACCTGCATTCATCCATTCATTTACCATTAGTTAAATAACTACAGTAACATAGGACAAGGGTTACAGAAATTAGTAAGATATAGTCCCTTACCCTCAGTGACTTCACATCCAATAAAGAAGCAAAAATGAAAATCCCATTATCATGGAGTGCACAAGATACTACAGAACGATGACACACAGAATTAGGTTAGGCCACTAGAAAACAATTCAAGTCCCACTAAGCCAAAAAAACAATAAAAGATTCGCTACACAAGAAAACGAAAGGGCATTTTAGGTAAAGCCAATACTACAATGGAGAGAGAAAGAATAAATCTTATAATATTTAGAAAACTTCCTAAAAATGATACGTCTAAAATGGCAAAGTACCTGCGCTTTGCTAAATTTTCTAGCAGACAGAGGTTATAACGTCTCTAAATCTAAAGCACAACTCTGCAGTCTTGAGGTAAAATATTTAGGCCTCATCATATCCAAGGGAACCCGAAGGTTAGAAAAGGACAGAATTAAATCAATTCTTTCCTTCCCACAGCCCAAGACCCTAAAGCAGCTAAGGGGATTCCTAGGAATTACAGGCTTTTGTCGCCTTTGGATACCAGGATATAGGGAGATTGCAAGAACCCTCTATCAACTTATAAAAGAGGCCCAAAAGACAGATACCCATATTATAATCTGGAAACCTGACTCCCAAACACCATTCCAGAAGCTTAAACAAGCTGTCCTAAATGCTCCATCCCTAAGCCTCCTCACAGGACACCATTTCAATTTATATGTCGATGAGAGGCGAAGTATGGCTTTGGGAGTACTTACACAGGATCTGGGACCCACTCAACAGCCTGTAGGTATCTGAGGCATGAATTAGACATTGTAGCAAAGGGATGGCCTTCTTGCCTCAGAGCTATGGCAGCTGTAGCTCTCTTAGTGCCAGAAGCATCCAGGCTAACTTTAGGTAAAGATCTCACTGTACATATGCCTCACAATGTGGCAGGACTTCTTTTGTCCAAAGGGAGCCTCTGGCTACCAGACAGCCGACTTCATAAATACCAGACTCTAATTCTAGAAGGATTAGCCATTCAAATAAAGACGCGTTCCTCCTTAAACCCTGCTACCTTTTTGCCAAAAAAGAAAAAATTGAGGCTGACAGACATGATTGTAAACAGGTAATTCTCCATACATATGCTGCTAGAGAAGACTTATTAGACACACCCCTTACTAACCCTGATTTGACCCTTTTCTCTGATGGCAGCTCCTTCATGGAAAATAGGACAAGGAAGGCAGGGTATGCAACGGTAAGTCTGCATCAGACTCTTAAAAGTTCCTCACTTACACCTGGGACTAGTGCTCAGCTAGCGGAGCTCATAGCTCGGACCCTATCCTCTTTGTGGGAGGCCATTACCAGTTCCTCCTGGTGGAAATCTTTGACTATATTCATAATAATCCTGCTGATCTTATTGTTTGGCCCATGCACACTTCATTGTTTCTTTGGCTTTGTCTCCTCCAGATTTAAAGCTATACGCCTACCCAAGATGAAATCGCCTGCTGTCTATTGAGGGCCTTTAGATAGACCCTCTGAAGAGTATCTCTGACTGCCAGTCAAGAACTACGACCCCTTGCAGTCTGAAGAAGCCAGAGCGGTCATCTCCCGTTACTCCCTCAGGGCAGTTCAGGTTACTTCTTCAGAGGGGGCGATGTTACAGGCAGCTGAGGTAGTTACAAATATTATAGGCAGTCAGACAGGGCCAGGCCCTGGAAGGAGCCAACATGAAAGACAAGGTAAGATACCTGTGGGCCAGACCTCAAGACAAAAGATTAAACAAATGCACCCACACACCTCTCTAGGGATGGACATCAGGGGTTCCATCACCTTGAAGAGTCCCTGACCCAACCCCTTACAGGAAGAGCCCCTGTTCTGTATTCATGCCCGACTGATACATGACTTGCTTCCCCATTTGATCCCAGTTTAATCAATTTTACCTGAACAATTCTTATTGGCTGACCATAGTTTTGTCCATTTTTCCCTTACCTTGGACCTGCCTCACCTCGTGGCTTTGCTCTATAAAAGTCTCTAGAGAAGACAAAGTCTTGGGTAACCCACTCGGGCCCCCATTCTGTCCCTCTCTTGGACAGAAGCTTTCTTTCCCTCAATAAATATATTCTGCTCTTAAAAAATAAAATAAAATAAAATAGCAAAGTAATCTGAAGTTTGATCATGAAAAGTATGCGATGTACAAAGATAATGCAATTTTTGTACTTCAGGTACTAAATGGTTAATGAAATATATTAATTGAGGTAAAACCACGATCAGAATAATGATTTAGAAAGATCATTCCAACAGTAAGGTGACCTGATCCTGGGAGCAGGTATGATGTATTTATCAAGCTATAAAATAAAAGGCAGAAAGGAAGCCATCAGCATGAGATACAGTTAAAGCAGAGACATTTTCTGAGATATGGGAGAAATACATTTAACAAGTCTAGATGAACAGTAATTAACTAAATAAAAAATTAAAAACTGAGAATGGGGCCTGGGATTTAGCTCAGCGGCACAGCGCTCGCCTGGCAAGTGCAAGGTCATGAGTTTGATTCCCGGTACCGGAAAGAAACAAAAAAAAATACCAAAAACCAGTGAGAATGACTTAACGATATGTCACCTGCACGACTAAGCCAAGACTGATAGCTCCCGTGGTCAGAAATGAAGGAGAAACAGACAAGAAGGTGAAGAAGTGAGGAAGAGCTTCCCTGCCTGCCTTGTAGATCCCACTCAGTGTTTTTTGCTTTTTCTTTTTGAGACAGGGTCTTGCTATGGAGTGCAGGCTGGCCTTGAGCTCACGTATGTGGTCCAAGCTGGCCCAGAACTCATGGCAGTCCTCCTGCCCCAACCTCTCGAGTGCTGAGATCACAGCCATGCACCATCACACCCGGCCTTCAATGTTCTTTTGATGGGGTTATCAATCACCTACCACTGTACCCAAAAGATAAGCAGATGACACATACTAACGAAACAGAAACCTCCTGGCAGACTGCCATATATGCCGGGGGTGGTGACGTGAGACATCTTTAATTTCAAAACCTAAGCTTTTAAATGGTAAACGTGAGTCATCAATATCAATAGCCACTGTCAATGAAGGGCAGAGAACCTATTTAAGAATGAATCCACCTGTTAAGACGGGGCGAGAGTAATGGTCTGGTGATATCATTTGAATTCTGAAGCTAGCCTCAACTTCGTGGAAACCTCAATTATTTCAAAGCATGAATAGTTTTTTTTGCTGTTGTTTTTCTTTGTGCGTTCATCCTTTTGTTGTTGTTGCTTAAATGTGCTGTAATGGCCAAAGAAAGAATCCTGACAAATAAAAGGAAGTTTCTTAAAAGGCAGATGAAGTTTGAGATGCCTCCATAAAGACATCCAGCAATTAGCTGGGATCACAGGTCAGAACACAAGTCTAAAGCTAGAATTATAAAAAGGTACCTATTTTAATATTCCCCTTGATGGTGCCGGGAGACTGAGAATAGTTTTGAAAGAGATGATTTTTTAAATGTTTCGGAGACTGTAACTTCATTCCTACTGTGAATATGTATAAAGGGGATCAGAGCAAAAACATTTCACACACAGAACTAAGTCGATCTGTTAATTACCTAAGGAAAGTTATACTCACAAGAATAAGGTTAAGTACATGTGCCTGCACACACATATTCCTAGGAGATGCACTTTCAGGGCAAAAACTGGGCCTATTCAGCCTGTGTTTGAATCTTGCCTCTAATATTTGACAGTATGTAATCTTCTGATTAACTCTTCCATAACTCCATTTCCTTACCTATAAAAAGGTTAATACATGTACCTACTAGGTTGAATTGATTTTATAATTATGTGAGTTAAGTGTATTAAGTGTTTAAATTCTTCACCTATGTTAATTCTCTTTTTCTTTCTGGTACCGGGAATTAACTCACAACCTGCGCTTGCCAGGCAGGCGCTTTGCCGCTGAGCTACATCCTCAGCCCTAAGTTCATTCTTAAACAGGAATATGTACACAACATATAAGCGGATTATTATTATTATCCGGGAATTAAAGAATTTTTCCCTTTATGATTTACTTTTATAACTTTATATTATTAGGCTAATAGCAAATTAATTTGTATTTTCTTTCACATACACCAACTGGAAAGGAAAAATATCTCAGAAAGCTTGAGTGGTCAGAAGAAAACCAATTTGACACTAAAATGTCCATAAATGAAATAATGTATGTCCAACAGATACAGTCACAAGAGCTTTTATAGAAGTCTACAGTGTAAACTGCCCCCCTTTCCTTCTCCCTGGACGCTTTCCACACAGCCTTCCCCACAGGCCCTACGGGCTCTGTACTCTCCGTCCCCCACAGAGTTGCCCAACTAAACAAAATTGTGCAATTTATCACCCACACAACACCACTTCGGAAAGTAAAAGGAAATTATCAGCTACATCCGGTAAAGTGAAAGAACCCATAGCCCAAGAGCGGCACAACGTATGACATCGATGGTCCAGTCTTCCCTGCTCCTCAGAGACATCGGTCATACAAGCTTCTCGCTAACATAAAACCAACTTTCCTCAGAAGGCAAAGTTTAGATAAGGATACAGGTTCTTCCTCACCCAGACAATGATGAACTTCCACAGTTAGCTCAACCTGATTATAAAAATTTCAAGCATCTCTGGAGGAACCGTAAAGAAACACTTTCAAACACAAAAGGCTTTTCTTGGTGTCAGTATCGTTAAGTAACTCCAGGCCTGGAATCTGGGTAAGCTTTTGCTGAGAAGATAACCTCAGAAAGTTTAGTATACTTTCTGGGAAATTTTTATAAACCTTGGAATCAAAAATACATCTTATTTACCTTGTCTGCCACCCTCCCTCAACGCAAACTTCTCAGAAGCTCCAAAAGTATATATTTAGCGATTTAATTTCATATGTATCATACAGTGTGCTGATGAGTCGATGTAATCAACATGTGTTAGCTGATCACACCCTTAATTACAACAACTTATTTTAAAGCTGGCCTGCCTTAGAATGCAGGTAGAATGTTGACCGTGATGGCAAATTCACTTCAACAAATTAACTAACTGCCCTAATAAAACTTTACAATTTTTGTTGTCTCATATGTCATCTCATGGTGTACTTTAGATACTGTACATCAGTATCTAAAAGAAGCATGGTAATATTAAATATAAAGTAAACATAACTGTATTATTAATTTTAAAGGCAATGTCCTCATATTCATTATGCAGAAAACTCAAACCACAAAATTGTTTTCTATTAGTATCAGTAAAAAATATAAATTATTCTGATAAATACATGTTTTCTAAAGGCCTCACCCATAGTTTCTTAGAGAAAAAAATTCTTAACCTAGTATTTTTTTAAATCTACAAAAAAATTTCATTCTTGGATTAAAATAGGAGAAAAGGTGACTCTGAAACCCTGTGGAAGGGATAACAAACATGCTAAAAGTAGTTTACAGTAACACAATGAACTCATTTACATACACATGTAGGGTTCCAGATTATAGTTCCATTGTAAAAAACAATGATGGAAAGTGTTCAAAAAGCAAACTGAAGATCAGCCAAAAGTTATATTAGCTAAGACAAAACAATTTGTTGTCAGCAGCTTCTCTACTAGTAAATCATCAAAGAAATGAGCAACATTGGGCTAGCTGATCAACATGTTGAATAAAATAGTCAATTAATAAAATAAAGTCAATTACCTAGTAATAAACAAAGGCCCAAAACATAAACTTACGATTCAGTTCACACTACCTAGAGAAGCACGCTTAATGTTCATCCCTTCTTTGAGAAATGCACTTAACAGAATAAGGAAATGATACGCAGGCATAAAGAAGGGTCGCAGAGAGAAAAGACAACACTGACATTAAGATTCGTAGGGACTGAGACAGAACACAAGAAATCCACTTTTCAAGGAGGATATATTGTCTTTCAAGTCCTCTATCAGATAGGACAGACATGTTAATGATTAAAATCAAATTTCACTCAAAGACTTGTTTGCATACATGGCTTTCCGTTTGGTTTTTGCATTCATTACCAATAAGGTCATGATGTTTTCAACTTTACAAAAACATACATGGCCATGTGGCAGCACTGGTGAGGCAACGGAAGAAAGATCGCTGTGCGTTTGAGGCCAGCCTGGGCTGTGGAGTGAGTTCAGAACCAGCTTAAACTACATAGCAAGGCCCTGTCGCCCCACCAAAACAAAGAAAAAAAAAGACAAAGAATACAGTACATGAAATTTTCTAAAATACGCATGTAGTCATCTATAACTTATAACTCAAAATTTTCTACAATATACATAGTCAGCTCTTTTTTTTTTTTTTTTTTTTGGTATCAGGAATTAAACTCAGGACCTTGCAATTGCTAGGCAGGCACTTACCCTCTGAGTTATATCCCTGGCTACATAGCGATCTCTAAGTTGTAACTCAAAATTTATGTTCACATTGTATAATTTTGTTTTATACAATATAAAAGTTAAGTTATATATTGAAGGACACATACAACCAAATGGTCCAGGTACATCTAAAATATTACAATAACTGTTAGGAAATTGAATTTAAAATATTTTACAACCAAAAAATGCCACTTCAGTTAATATTTTTATGTTAACATGAAATAAAATATGCACTTACTAGCTGAATCATAAATGAATTTTAATTAGCAAAATATTTTCACTTTTATGTAGCTATGAAAAAAATCTAACCAAAAACCTAAGAATTTAAAGAACAAAGTTTCTGCAGCAAACTTCAATTTCTGGGAGAATTAAATCAATTACCTGTAATATAACAAGAGCATTTTCTATGGAAAGGTCATCTGACGGAAGGCCTTCACTTTTCCAAATTAACTGCTCACTTTCCGTACAAAGAAATCTCCTCAGATCAAATTCTGAAAAGATAAGGATATCAGTAATATGTTACTACAGTGATCTTACAATTGATAAAGAAAAGGGAATTAAACTATTTAAAATATCCGGAAGCAAAAATCCTATGACGACCCCTAATTTGAAACCCAGTTATCCACTTATAGCATTCAAACTCAAGGGTAAAAGTTTTTTAAAATGTTCAGTGAAGCAGAACTCAGTTAAATCTTATTTCTTCTCACTGAATGTTTCACAAACATAGTAATTCTATGAAAGTGAAAAAACTGACAAGAAATTTTAGAATGAAACCTCATCATATGAAATGACTATAAAATTATAATGATCAGCTGCAGTATCAAAAAAAATTGAGTGATCAGTTTCTGATAGTAATTTAGAATATAAGGCTCTCACTCACAAAGCAACTTCCAAAACATGTGAAGCTGCCAAGTTTACAGTAGCTACAGTATCCCAGTAACTTACAGAGAATTTTGCCCATTTAAATAAAGTAAAGTAACATTGGTCAAGGGTGCATTTTTAATAGACTGAAATTTCCAGTTCACGAATAACTAACTTTCAAGACCAGCGGACTTGGTCCATTCTTCCAAACAGGTTTTCCTGAGGCCCTCAGGAGCAGCAGAAAGATAGGTAATAAACGCAGCAGCCAGTTGAGCTCTTTTAGGAAGAGTAGCTAACTCCTCTGTTATCTCTGCGACCTGGAAAGAGGGAGAGGGGTTTATGCGCGTATGTTCTCCGAGGGAAGAAAGTGAGCCATAGGGTCTTGTCCATGGAAAAAGCACCATCCACTGGCTCAGCAGCTCCTTCTGACAGCCAATATGTTAACGGACCAAGACACTGGGCTTTGATGTGATGTTTTTTAAAAGTATGCAGTATTGATATATTTGCAGAAATAAGTATTTTGTCATTAGCGGCTCCTAACGATTATAGTAAAGGCAAAGCCTTCATCCTGACCACAATTAAATGTTGTGCATAGGTATCACTTTGTGAAAGAAAACTAAAAACGCAGTGTGTGAACAAAGGCACAAAAGAAACACAAGGAGACTCATTTGTGAAAACTGTAGTGTAGGGAAAGCAAAAGATGAAACAGAAAGGGCGGTGATATGGAAGTAAACAGCAATAAAGTTGATTAAAGGCCGATTGTGAAAGAGTTTCCGTCCGATTCAAAGAATTTTCTGTTTTCACCCGTCTCGCAAACCACTGACAGGAGAAGCAGACGGTGAGGACACAGTCACCTGGGTTCTGAATTCAGCTGACACATGACAGGGACCGACTCATCAAAGAGTCAGATGAGAGCGAGACAAGCCAGGACCACCCAGAGGAAAAGAGGAAAAGACTGGTGACAAATGTGAAGAATACTTGCAAGTGGGTATAACAAATAAGGAAGAGTCTGAGACAGCACTGTGTTTTTAGTTCTTGAAAACCCAGAGGAAATAAAACACTGGTGAATTAAGAATTAAAGGAGATCTGGAATGAGAAAAAGAAAATAAATTCAGACACATTAGATTTGTGTTCCTGAGAAACAACTAAATGCAAATATCTGAAATGTAACTGGAACATTAATTAAACTCTGCAGTCTAGAAATACAGCACTGGTTACCATCATGGTACAGGTGAGGCTAAGACAAGACAGGATAAGCCCCACTCTTTCAGAGAAAGGAGCTAAACAAGACAATACTTAAGATAATCAACATTATCGGGGCAGCGGATAAGAAAGAAGGAATCTGGCTTAAAAATGGCAGAGGGAGGAAATAAGACTATCAAGGTTGAACTGATAGAACATTTCCAGAAATAAATGGACCTCAGTTTTTTTTTGGTTGTTTTTTTTTTGGTGCCAGGAATTGAACTCAGGACCTTGCCGCTTGCCAGGCAGACGCTTATGCCACTGAGCTATATCCCCGGCCCTGGACCTCAGTTTTGAATCTTTTACTGTCCTGGTAAAGGCAAACTTTAAAAACAAAATCTCTAAGGAGTACCCAATTTCCATTAGATCATTCTCAGCCCTGCCCTTTCCCTCAAAAACATACGTAACTAAAAAGGGAATGAATTGGTTGCTGTCCTAAAATCCACCCATATAAAGATACATTACTTAGGGACTGATTCATTTACTGATCACTTGTACTTAGATCAACTGTCCAGACCAGCTGCAAGGTAAGAGATATTTGTCTCCATTTAAAAACAAATACATTACATCGTAAGTTTTCTCTGTTTTACAGGAACCCTCTCTATGACTTCAATCAAACAAACCTGTGCATTCCATCTCTTGTGTTCTCGATCAAGCTGATTAATTAAGACTTCTGCAGCTTTGATTGTTTCCTGTGCTTTGCTGACTTCAGCTTCAAGTTTGGCAGCCTCTGAAGTCCTGCTCTGAAATCTATGACATTAATGTTTAATTAAAGTTAAAATAAATTTCAGACATATTTAATAAAATTTTCATTGAGTAGTTAAGTATACTTTTATACCTAAATTTAATTAATGATAACGCTGACAATATTTGTGTACATCACTCATTAAACACACAAATATACCAACACATAAAGTGTGTCATTCTCTACCTCAAAAAGTTGAATAGGGCCTCCATGTGCTACTACATTATGTACAAATTTCTCAATATGGCAATCAAGGCTCTATTTTAAGACTGATCCATTCTATCTCTCTAGTTTCATTCTTTTTATTAGAGTCCTGCAGAAGTATATGTCAACATCTGAAAATGTTTATATTATCTGAAATTATGCTATCCTTCACCTTCTGTTAGTTCCTGGATATTCCATTTACTAGAATCTCTCCCAACCATTCTCATCCATACTTACCTCACAGCCAAATCCTCTCCAACATCTACCTACTAAAAATATAAATAAAATGTCACAACTCACTCTAATATCCAGTCCATCAAATATGATCATTTCTATATGGCCTGTTGAGCTCCTATCTCTATATTTAAATTACCTTCCTTCAAAATGTTTGTACAATTTTATTATTTTATTAAATAAAATGGTAATATTCTCCATGATACATAAAGTGCCTACAAATACATAAGTGCCTACAATATGCCCATGATTGTACCAAATCTTTTTTTTAAAAAAGCATCTCAATTAATCCTTATAACAAAAGTTCAAAATGAGTTTTATATTTCTTATATTACAGATATGGAAAATTATACTACAGAGATTTTGGTAGAAGGTCTCACCAATCATTAGTGCAGGAGCTAAAATTCACATACAGGCATTACATTTTATGCACTTTATAGTGTATTTCATCACCTCTCTATCCTTTTCTTTTCTACCTTAGACATAAGATTCTAGAACTCAGAAATCCAATATAGTAGCCCAGTTACATGTGTCTATTTAAGAATAGGGCCAGGGATACAGCTCAGCAGTACAGCGCCTGCCTGGCAAGCATGAGGTCCTGAGTTTGATTCCCAGTACTCCAAATTAATTAATTAATTAAGAGAAAATAAAATTAAAAATTCCCCAGTCACAATACACAAGTTACAAGTACCGAGTAGCCATTTATAAGTGTTTGCTACACTAACGGACAGCACATGGAGAATATTCCCATCCTTTCACCAAGTTCTACTGCATGGTGCTGCTCTTCAGAACTGGAAAGCTACACCACTGCTCACCAAAAAAACTCATACTACTCTTGTGCATGATTCTATAATAAGTTCATACACCAATTCTGAGATTACAACTTGTATTTAAAAATGTCAAAAATCTTAATTTTGTAAAATTAGAATTAAAACGGAGAGATCATGCTTACTTTTCAGTTCCCTTTCCCTGTCGGAAGTAAACAAGATTGCCACTCAAAGCCTAAAGCCAGCTAAATCTTAGTTAAGGAGCACGGTAAGTACCAGCACAGTGACCAGCATTACTCATTCTTTATAACGACATGGAACGGAAAATGCCACTCCATTATGCGTAGAAGGTAATTCCAAAGGTTTTTGTACAATCATTTCAAAACATTGTAAACTACTGTAGTAATTTTTCTAACTACTACACACAGTGTAGTTAAGAAGAGGGACTTTATGGAGCTAGACAAATCTAGAGTTTAATGCCGGCTTAGTCATTTACCAGCTGCTAAACTTTAGAGAAAATAAACTCTGTGTTGTAAACATTCCTAATATGCAAAATAGAACAACACATCTGACGCAGAAAGTGAACCAACAAATAAAATTGAAACATGGGGACCGCACACTAATGGGTCAATAAATATTTGAAAATTAGCTAAATATTAAGCATTACCTACAAGCATATAACATAAAACATAATATATTTATTTCCTTTATACTCATCCGATAAAATCTAAATCTGATAAAAGCATATAACATAAAACATAATATATTTATTTCCTTTATACTCATCCGATAAAATCTAAATCTGGGGCTGGGGATTTAGCTCAGCGGCAAAAGCGCCTGCCTGGCAAGCACAAGGTCGTGAGTTCGGTTCCCGGTACCGGAGAAAAAACAAAACAAAAAAAAAAAACTAAATCTGATAAAAATGATAAAAATCTAAATCTGATAAAATCTGATAAAAATGTTGCGATTTCTTTCCTATACTTCTAACATAAAAACTGTTCAGGAATATTAAAAATACTAGAGTTACAGGATTAGGGTCTTTGCTTTCATTAGGTTTGCTTTTTTCCTTATAAATATTTCTCTATAGATGAAAACATACATATATACACATACATATATGTGTGTATCTATATACTTAAATGTATATATGTATATATGTGTGTATATTCATAGATGAATGTTTACAGAAAAAAGACACACACACATATATGAATGAAAGAGAAACTGAAATTAGAGGGAAAGAAAATCATACTGTTAATCTGATAAATTTCCTTCTTGATACAATAATTCTCTCCTCCATAACACAAAGGAAATATATCACTTCAAAAAAATTTGTAGGGCCAGGGATATAGCTCAGGGGCACAGCGCCTGCCTGGCAAGTGCCAAGTTCGATACCTGGTACCGCAAAAAAAAAGAAAGAAAAAAGAAAAATTTGTAGCTCATGGAAATGTCTCATAAAACTGAAACAAATCATAACATATATATTACATTTAATTACATTTAATCTCATATTCTTCAGCTTTTCAACTTTTCATAATTTCATAGAAAATGTTTCCACACTAATAACAATTCCCCTAGCAATGTATTTATCCTATAATAAACAGTTATCACAGGGACCCGAAGGTATATGAAAGACTGTAATACTAATCACCTTCATAAGTTATTCTTGAACTTGAGTATATTTGCATGAAAAAAAATTTTCAGCACTGTGCAGCAAAACAATTTAAAAGTAGAGAAATTTTTCAAAATCAAATATGCCCTTGGGAAGATTACAGAATAAATGGCAACAGCATCACCTAATATAAAAGGAGTCCACAATAACATGTTAAAATCAAAATCAAAAGAAAGTAGAAACTCAAATATTATCTCTCCCAGCATTAACTCATCGTATTCAACTCCTCTTGCTCAGTTTTCTCACTGGCCTTTGGGAATGTATGTACCAACGGCCTACAGGTGGAGAAAAAAGATTTCTATTCTTACCAAAAACTTTATTTACAAAGTAGTACTTTCTATATGATTCTATATGCTTCCAAAATTTAGAATGATATATCACAAAAAGTAAAATAGTAATTACAACTAAGATTTTCACAATTAATCAGTTGGGGTATATGTTTCAAATATCAAAGTTACATTTCAAATTTAACTTACTTCTCTTTAAGTTCAGAAACCTTTTGACCAACAGAATTAAGAAGCTCTTCAAGTTTCCTTTTTCTATCTTCCGTTTTCTTCAAATTCCTAAGACATAATTTAGTGTTATAAAAGTCGTTCTATTTTTAAAAATATAATCTTGCACTAAATACATGACAATGACATCACTACTAGTGGTTCAAAACTGTAACACTTTTGCTTCAGATGTAATTTGAGAATCAATGTCAAAATTAAGTGCGTCCTTTGACCGAACCACGACACTTCTAGGAATCCACGTTTTTAAAAATTTGTGCATGTAGACTTCTGGATAAAAATGGCAGTCTAGACATATTCACTTATTCTCTTACACTCTTTCCTTTCCAAAACCCTGCCGAACCAAGGACATGAAAGGCATGCGAGGACAAAAGATAAACATATACCAAAGTAAACATTTCAATAAAATTTTGAAAAGTAATAACCAACATACCAGAACACAAAAAGCCAAAAGCCAAATGCCCCTGCAGGAAAAGGTGCTAAAAGCATTCTGAAATGCTCAGAAAACGTAAACAGGTATCTCTGAAGGTAACAATAAAGTCAAAGACAAAGACCTGTTTAACAGTTGAGATTACAAAGTGTTTGACTCCAAACGCCCTGCCCCATTGGAATCAGACTTTGCTCTTAGGCCAACCCAGAATGCAGCAGGCGCACCTTACTCCCCACCCAACTCCACCCACCTCTGCCACATCCTACACAGAAGATACGGGGATTCTTTTAGAGCAAACGGATGATGCCCCTCTCTAAAACATACCCCAAAATACAGAAGGGTTGCCATCAAATGACCAGGCTTTACTTGGCCAACTGCATCGAAGTTCAACAGCCAATGGGCCTAAACCTCACACGGAGAGCTTCCAGTCAGACTTCCAGTACTTCATAATTAATGCCCACCAGCCGAAACTCAGAATGTCACGAAAGCATGGACAGAAATACACAATGAATTATTAAAGCCAGGAGCAAAAATATAGTGTTTGAATCCCATAATATTCTGAGAGAGACGAAGAAGATATTTCATATGAGAAGTAAGATGAATTTAGTTTGCTTAAAAAGAAACAAAATCCAAAGAAAACAGAACTTTGGAAAACAGAACTTTAACAAAAATAGAATAATACAGTGGTAGGAAGATACAGTTGCAAATTTAAGACAGACAACATGGAAAATAGGTCCGCTGTGTGCATTACTGGCTGTTACTGCCCTGCACACGGGAAACATTTCTTCCCAGAAGGGATGGCTTTTTCTATCTTGCACAAGCTAGCAGAACCCTGAAATTATTGGAGCAGATATAAAAACATTTTAGAAGATTGGTCCAAGTATTCTAACAAAAGATTAATATGAATGTATGAAAAAAATGAAGCCAATCCTTCCATCTGCCTACCCGGAGCCAAGATCTCACTCCAGGGTACCGACAGAGCCTCAGATTTGCTCCAGTGCGCCCACCCCTCGGGCAGTCTGGGTACACACTGATCCACCTGATCACGACAGATAGAAGAAAATGAAGGCGGGAGAAGTCTTGGAAAGATTTCGTTGTTCTTAAAAAGATGCACTTCCTTTTAAAAATGCTTCGCAAGAAAGAAACAATCTTTGTTTCAACCCTGTATCATCTTGTCTGAAAAGAACTTTAGCAACCACCTGTGTCCAAAGGGACTGTTAACTTGCAAATAAATTGAGAATGTCAAAACAGGAGGAAGAACTTATGTCCTTGATATTATTATGGGTGGATATTATTAACCACCCTGGAAACAACCCGTTGTGGGACTCGCTATTTATAATAATGCTTAATTTTTTAAAGCCATTTTGAGGGGTGATTTTACTAAACCATAGCCAAAAGTACCCCAAATGATACAGAAGTAGAGAAAGAAAACGTCCAAGGAATAATGTAATGAACTATCCCAGAACTGGCACATAAATTTCTCAACTATAGTATTAGATATGCAAGATCTCAAAATATTGTCCATCCCTTACTCTTTCTTAGGAAGCTGCTGTGGAGGATGTACTCCAGAATAACAGGAACTAATCTAAGAAAAATAAGAATTCAGAATAAAAGCATACGATACAGGAAAGAGGAGAAGGTGTTCTTCAGAACAATGGCGAAGAGAAGTCTCTGGATAACAACTGTAGGCGGTAGGCCCAAGGAAGAACTGATCCAGATCAGAAGAGAATGACGAAAGAACTAATTCATGTCAGCCCAGGAGGACGAAGGCTCTAAGACAAATAAAAATGACAGAACTCTCTACCCAAATGTACCTGAAGGGTCTTCAGAGAAAGGGCAAAAACTGCACACTCAAGAACATAACCTCTTTCGTAGATTTTTTTGGGTTTTGCTTTTTTTTTTCTTTTGTGGTACTAGGGATTGAACCCAGGGGCGCTCTGTCGTTGAGCTATGTCCCTGGCCCTTGTTTTTATTTTATTTTGAGACAGGTCTTGCTAAGCTGCCCAGGCTGGGCTTAAATTTTCCATCCTCCTGCCTTAGCTCCTGAGCAGCTGATCACAGGCTTGAACTGCCTACCACACCCCACAGAACTGGATCTTCTTAAATTGTTTTTAATTTTTATTAGTACATGTTCGCAATAGATAATGATTACACTCCTCGTGGGGAGAGACACATACTACATCTTCATCCTTTTTCATCCTCTTCACTGCCCCTTTCTTTCCTCTCTCTCTAGCTTGCTCTACTTCCCTTTTTCACAGAAAATCTCTCCTTGTTTTGTACTATCTTTTATTTTGCTTTTAGTTTACTCACATTTTGGGTTTCTCATATAAGAGAAATCATATGATAGTTAAGCCTATGAGTCTGATTTATTTCACTTAACATTATGGTCTCAAGGTGCACCCATTTTCCTACAAATAACTCAAGTTTACCCTTCTTTACGACAGAGCAGTACTCCACTGTGTTTAAATACCACATTTTCTTTAACCGTTCATCTGCTGACGGCCCTGGAGGCTGCACCAAGATTTAGCTGTTGTGAGTTGTATTTCAAAGCTACAGTGATAAAAAAAGCTTGTACTAACAAACCGGATCTTTAACTTCAATAGCAAATGATATATCTTCCTGCCTACCCAGACACCATTTTGGAAAATATACCCTAAACACTTCTAAAACCTGATGGTAACAATAAATATAAAAGCCTTAAATTCCAAAACCTTCTTTTTGTGTTTTACTATTTTTCCTTATAAAACTTTGTCTTTACCAACTTACCCTTCCGACAACGTAATTATAGAGGAATAAATAAACCAGCCGTGTCACTCATCTCCTGGTCATTCCTTTCATTCTTGCATATGTTTAATTTTTAATTTATAACAATTTAAGTTTTAATAGTGGCAGTTATCTTTTAAATAGAGAAAAGAAATACTGTACGGTGCTAATAATACAACAAACTCATCATACTGATAAAAAATAAGTATTAGAGCTGTTTATGTTTTGTATTTCACTTACGATTCTAATCCCGCCTGTTCAGTTTCCAAAGGCTGAATTCGTTCCAAGACATGGGAGTACTGCACATTGGCTTTAACCCAGGCAGCCAGAGGTGCAGCTGCGGTACTGGCACGCTTTGCATTCTACAAATTTCAAAAGAAATTACTCCCGACTTAATTTCAAAGAAGGGCAAAGTTAAATACACTTCATTTGGGCATTTACTAGAGAACATAATGCAAATAATAAACTTTTTAGTTGATAACTAAAATAAAAATATGGTGAACTACTATTCTGATCAAGAGAAACATACATGAACTCTTACTTTTAGCTTAAAAATGAATCTTTGGAACCACACAGCATTTTTAGCATAGAGATGCTTTACCACAATGATTCCATTACTCCCAGTTATCATGAATACTGCCGCCCATGACAATGTCCAAGAAGCAATTCTTTCTTTTCTGTACATGCAACACAGTTTTACTAGGTAAGAGCAACTATGAAATCACTGTTATTGGTTTCAAAGACAACATATAAAACACTGAATAAATGTTCTAAAAATACCAAAATCATGGAATTTAAAATGGTATACTAAAATTTGATACAACTATCTCAACACCGATATTTGCATATCTGTTATTTTATGACAAGTACCCAAGAAAAAAAAGTTGGATGTTTAAAAAATGATTACTTAGGGATTTAACATTGACAGAAGATCCTAAAATTCAAAAATAACACAATAATAAAACACCTTCTGCTACCTGGATTCTAGTTTACCTCATTCTGCTACTGAATGTTTTCCAACTATAAAACCTAAAGGGCTTTTTGTAACTTTAAGTGATTTTTAATAACTGATAAATTGACTAGGCATCAGATACTAACAAGCAGAATATTACATAGTATAGAAAAAGAAATTTATGGTATAACTGCTAAAAATTACCTTTGGATCAAAAGAGCCTTTATTTTTAAAAAGAAGTTGTTCAACACTCTCTCTTATTTCCTTTGGAATATTTCGTGCATCAAAGGTTGCGATGTCTTCTCTCACACCTCTTTTAGCAAGGAAACTAAAAATAAAACATAGTAATTCAAAGGAGGGCAAATAAAAATTAATATTTTTTGAAAAAAATCGATTTAACAAATTGATGTAATACTTTTAATATAACTACATTAATTAACAAAAAAAGAGTAGAAAAATTTAAGTTTCTAATAGCTATCCTTTTTATAGACAAGAAAGAAAACTGTAGAAAGACACAACAATCTAATCCAATAGCATTCTGCGAATATAGAACAAGTGAGATGTTAGAACCGGCGCTGTTTCACGCCCATCCTCACTTGTGAACCGCTGTGTACTCACATGGTCTCGGATATGAGGGAACACTCTGACTCTTTTCTAAGGTGTTTAAAGTATTTCCTCACCCTAAGTCTCCTCTCCTGTCAGCAGATCTTTTAAGAATTTCTTTACTATCAACCTAAATCCCAACATAGAACTTAACATCACCACAGAGCGTAACCCAACAGCACGATGAGAAGCCTGCAGCCGACGTCTCTGTTCGCTGACGTGCATGGTTTTTTAGTTTACATTCTCCTGTTATTCATGGCTTGCTCATTTCTCTCTCTCTGTCTCTCTCCACCTCTATCTGTCCCCTCTTTTCCTCCTTCCCCCTCCCTCCTTGCTCTCCGCATCTCTTTCCTTCCTTCCCCTTTCTTCCCAGTTCACCTTCAAAAGCACAAGACTGTAGGGAGAGTAGTGACTATATTTTAACAGTAAAAGCAGCATATTCTTACTATGAAAAAAGCAGATGAATTATGAAATTGAATGAGACATTCTGAAAGATTCTAAGGCATTCCTTCCCTCCTTTGACACGCTTAACAATCACTTAGGAAAACAATGACACGTATCTTCACACATGATTATGAAGAATACCTTGACATTTCAGGGCAACATGTGTAACTATGTACTTAGATAGGGGTCAGTTGGAGAAATACCAATAAGACAAATATTGAAAACTATAAAAGAGGGTGTGATTTTGCTGAGGAAACATTCTTCACAAATTCAAAAACTTACCTTTTCATGCTCACCCAGGAAGTATCAAAAATGCCCATCAACCTTAAGACTCCCTCCAGAATGTCTCGGATCACGTCGGGCGGCATGCGCAGGGAGCGGATCTCCGAGAGAGACTCTGGCTTAATGTTTCCAACTGCAAGTTTAGCTTCACTAACTAGAGGCTGAAACAGAAAAAGGTCACTTCACTTTCAAGCTATGTGGTTTTAAAAATCAGCAACTATAAATAACCTAATAGTGTCATTTTATTCAAATAACTGTACTCAGTAATATTCTGTCTTCAAATATCAAAACGCTCAGACTGAGCAAGCAAGCCTTCCTGAGACTAAAACTGCAACACAAGAATCTAATTTGTCTTGAGATCATTTGCACTTTTTTTTCTTTCTTGGAGACAGGGTCTCGGTTTGGAGTTCCAGCTGGCCTCGAACTCCTGGTGATTCTGCCTCAGCCTCCCAAGTGCTGGGATTACAGACGGGTGCCCCCACGCCTGGCTCAATGTGCCGCCCTTAAGAGGTCTTTACATTCTACCACTAGAAGGAAATTTCAGAGAAGTCTGAAAAAAAAGGCTTAATGGTTTGTCTTTATTTATCTAGAATACATTTCTCCCTCTCCAATCAAATAACAAGGATCACAGAAAACAGTATTTTCAATTACCATCAGTTAATTAACTTTCTTTCCCAGCAGGTTTTCTTTCTTGCTTTTCTCTTTATATGTAATATTCTGGTTGAAACTCACCTTTTGATAATACTGTAAGGAAGTAACTTGAGCTACAAATAATGCTTAACCTCCTATATTGAACTGGGAGTCAAAACAATAAATGGATCTTAGTATGTGTTTTTTCAACTTACCTGTACTTCTTTTAACTCATCATCAATTTTATTTTTTCTTTCTTCAATTTTATCAACTTCTTCTGCTATTTTATGCTTCAATCTTTCAAGTTCTGTCTTTTGCTCACTAGCATCCTATAGGAATATTTAAGTGGAATTTTAACAATTTTCATTCATTTACTATTTAAAAGAATCATACCAAAAATATGTTAAAGTAACACTTTCTATTAAAATTTTTCTATATAAATTTTGAACCTATGACAGAAGAGCTTTTAAAGTACTGTACTAGAAACCAATGATACATTTTACTCTACTTAATCAGAAAGGATTTTATGCTTTTGTTTTAATTTTGTCCACTTATCAAAGCAAAATGCTATAAAAAATTTAGACAAGTCAAAAATGTATACTTCTTTAAATGATTATAATAACATACATATGTCTTGAATCCATAAATAATAAAATTTATTATTCAAATATAATAAAGACTAAAACTTTTACAGACTACTTGATATTAGAAGTCTGTTTCTATACTTTGACTCTAAATATAAATTAACTGACATCATGACACATTAATTATGTGTTGACAAATATCTAGGAAAAATGAGTGAAGAGTCAAAGAACACTGAAGTATTTATTAACATCATATGACCCCTTTACTCCTGAGTGAAAGGTCAAATGTTAGATCCCACATATATGAAAATATTTGAATGGTACAAATGTATTTTTTGTTTATTTATGCTAATTGAAACCTTCAACCAGGTGGTCATCTCTCAGGGAATTTACAGTCCTACTAACAAAGATATTGATATGCTAGATCTGCATGCAGTCCAGGCACATAAAGGTTTAAACCTGATGCTTCCAATCTGCCTCTAAAGTCAATCACTGATCTAACAAACTCTTCCTTATACCTTATTCTTACCTCAGATGCCTCGCATATCAGCTCACTTGGAGCTCTTCTACATTTCAGCAGCATTTCTACCTGTTCCTCTGTTTCCACTCCTCGAATGAAAAAGTTATCTTCTCCACATCCACATTTCTTTAAGGCCTAGCTCATGTGTCCCTTTCATTACCCTCCTTTTCCAAATAGAAGTTATATGCATTTTGAGTTTTCAATAGCATTTACTCTGTATTTTTCTTTTGCAACAAACAAAATTACAAGCTTTAGAGGTTGCAGTTTGGTATTCAGGCTGTTTTTCCAGGCAGTATTTTTGAGAAAATACCTAACAGACATATCTGATATTTATAATTAAGCAAAATTATTAACTTATGAGATGTACAGTTACACTTTTTCTGGGTCTCTGCTAGACAATACAATTAGCTATTGTCTTAGGAATACTTCTTCAAACAACTCAGAGAAAACAGTAGCACAGTCTGACACTGTACTGGGTATACGGAGTACTGAATATTCTCCCTTTATGAACACACAACTGTCAAGCATTGCAGTCTTTCATGGTCACCTTTTTTCATATTTCATATTTCATATTATTTCTTACCTTTTGGAAGGTAAATAATAGATTTTCTTAACAATAAAAATCACTGGCTACTTTAAATATTTATACTAATATGGCCCAAAAAGTCTTAAGAAAAAATGCTAAACTTTTACAGTGTGAAAACTGAATGTACAATTTCTATATTACAGGTCAAATATCCACTTCTCTGATTTCTAACATTGCATTCTAGGTGCTTCTATAATTCCACACAAAGGAAATTAGATAGTACACAGGCTTTTGTGTCTGATTTTTGTACTTTAAGCCTCTGAGATTTGTTACATATTTTTATTCCTCTTAGCCAACAACCTAGAAGTGGAATTCTGGGTTACATGAGAAATTTTTGCTTAACTTTATGAAAAGTGCCGGAATTCAGAGAAGAGGCTACCATTTTGCATTTCCTCTAGCAATTATGAGAGTCCCAAATGTCCAACACGTTTACCACCACTTCATACTAGTTCAACGCTAGCCTGGGTTACACAGACAAGGCCAGCCTAAGCTACACAAGGAGACCCTGTCTCAATAAATAAATAAATAAATAAATAAACAAAAATTAAATAAATGAACAGAAGGGGTTTGGTCTAAAGGAAGAAAAAGATAGATTTGGTAATATTTATATATCGGTGATTGATAATACACCAAGTATGATAATGGACAAAAGTATCCTGAGAGAGCATGTAAACACAAAAGAATACCTAAACAAAGGGAGAACTTGAAATCTCCTTTGAAAATCTTTAATGAAGGAAAAGTAATGGCTAGGGTGGAGAAGTAGCTCAGTGGTAGAGCTCTTCCCTAATATGTATGAGGCCCTGTGTCTGATCCTAGCATCACACACAAAAAAGTTAATCACTAAAAGGGCATATAACTAAAATATTATTAAAATTTTTAATGTAACAATAAAGGATTTATTTTATAAATCTTAAGAATATTAAAAATGGAAATTTTCCAAAAGTGAAGAGAATTTTAAGAAAAAGAAAAAGAAGTAACAACTCTACTGTCAGAACATAAATAAAGGGGCTAAGGATTTAGCTCAGCGGCACAGCATCTGCCTGGCAAGCACAACGTCATAAGTTTGATTCCCGGTACCAGAAAAAAGCCAAAAAAAAAAAAAAAGAACATAAATAACATCAGTTACAGACAGATATGTACCAATTTAAAATATGAAAAGAACTTAGATAAATAAGCATGTGGTCAACTGAGAGGATTAAATTATGATTTTTTTTTTTTTTGGTTTTTTCCAGTACCGGGAATCGAACTCACGACGTCCCGCTTGCCAGGCAGGCGCTGTGCCACTGAGCTAAATCCCCAGCCCCTAAATTATGATTCTTAATAGTGTGAAAAGTCACCATGCTCTTCCACAACAGTTCAAATATACAATACTGTCAATCTGACCCAGTATGGATGGGCAATATTTTTAAAAATCCATATAAATAAACATGTTATTTTTTTATACTGATTGACTAGACATAAATGCTTTTTTTTGTATTTTTGCACTCATTGTAAACATTAAACATTACCTGCATTGATACTGTGATCTCCTGAAGGGCAGCATCTGCTTCGTCTTGCTTAGTTTTAAGTAATATACTTTGTTCTCCTGCTCTTCTGTTCAGTTCATCCACAAGAGCTTTAGCTTCATTTAGTTTGGATACGCCAGCCTACATCAAAAAATATTGATTGACGATATAAAAAGGTAACTCTATAGACACCCAGTAAATGAAGCCTTTTAAGAAAGAATCAAGCAAACATAATCAGGTACCTACAAAACAGAAGCAAGTAGACATAAGGGTTTTTGTTGCTAATTATAATACTTTATTAAACTTTATACCCTTTAAGATGTAATAAAGGACTCAACAGATATTTAACATATAACTGATAGCTTAACCACTGGACTAAACGCTGTTTATTCATTGTGTTGGATGGGAGAGAAAATAGAAAACAAAGAAAAGCTCAGAAAAACTTCTTCAGATTTTAGCCTTATGGAGGGAAAGACTCATTTAGACTCTTAGTGAGGGTCCCTCATTTACAGTGTACATGTCTTGATTTGTTTCCACCTCACGTATGCGTCTGACAGAGTAACCTTCAAAATTGGCTTCATCTCTTTGGGTGGGCATGTTGGTGGCCCTGACCTGCCTATCACAGTACCTTGTCACATTTCCCAGGATTAATCCAAGGAACAGATAGAAAAAAATTCCTTCTCTTATGCAGTATAAGACAGATCTTTGTCACTTAACAAATCAGAAGATTTGGACAAAGAATCCGCATGGTTTGAAAGCGATGTAACAAATATGTACTGAGTACCTAACATAAAAGACAGGTTTCAACTGACGTTCTTCACATATGAATTGCACCTAACATACTCACATATACAACTACGATTAACTCAATTAAGCTAAAACTCAGCAAGTTTAAATAATTTACCCAAAACACCGTCAAGAATTAAATCAGGAAATTAATCCTCCCAAACTGATGTGTAGTTAGCAGTTTAAAATAAAGGAAAGCGAATCATAGAGACAAAGATAAAGATAATTATGTCAATTAGGAGGGATTCCACTTTATTATCCTAACAAAGAGCAGCTAGAACTTCGGGAAGGAAATGCTAACAGTGTCAGAGGCTGGCATTCTAATATCACACATTAGAGCATCATATTTAGAGAAATGTAGGAAAAACTGCTCAGAAGCCATTAAGGGAAGTGACGTGGATACGAGCATTACTTCACAAAATATAATTTTAACCTCAGATATAATAACCAATTATAAATTTATTTTAAGATATATTTTCAATTTTATAACGTCTAAGATTATACCTCTTTTTAAAGAGACAGGATCCCTTTAAATCACTAAATTACCCAGGCTGGGCTCAAACTTGCAGTGCTCATGCCTCAGCTTCCCAGAGTACTGAGATTGCAGACATGCGTCACCATGCCTGACAATTATGTTTTCTAATAACCGTTACAAGGGTTTCTCAATTTCTAAACATGCTTGTGTATGAAAAAAATTCTTAAGAATATGAGCTATCCAAAGCACATAAATACTATCCAGTAAAGGACATAGTAATTATTGAATTTTAAAAATACAAACCACTACAATAATCTACTGGACAGTATAGGTAGGGCAGCAGAATTGTTTGGCAAAGCTTTTAATACGGTACATTATGTACTTATATTAAATATAGACCACTGTTAGCACAACTGTGTGATTTACGTAGTCCTTCTTTCCAATAAATAAAATAAATCAAGATAAAATAATTTAAAAATTAAAATAATAGTGAAGCTATAATCATCCAAGATTACCAATATCGTACCTGCAAATGACTTTGTCTTTTTAATAGTTCATTTTTCTTGCTGCTACTAATGGCAGAATACACCTGTAGAAAGGTCATGTACCGGCTTGGTGTAGCACCATATGCTTTGCAAGACTCGTGGATTAACAAAAATGACTTTAGAAAGTCAGGATCAACTAAAAAAAATAGAAAATAAAAATAACATATGCATGATATATTAAGAATTAGAAAAATAATCTTACATATATTTCATATTAGCTGTTTCCGTTGTAATTACATCTTTGCTTTAAAATTCCTAAGCATTCCTAAGCATCTATTCATAGCTCCTAGCTTCCTTAAGAATTTGCTAATATCTAATTTCACTGATCTTTATCTCTCCACTGTTTACATTTCTCCTGAACACTTTTATTGCTGCAACAAGGATTTATATGTTGTAATAACATAAATTGAGACCACATAACACATGCAATCAAAAAGTGTTCAAATAAGTAAGAGATACCAAACCAAATAATACCTATGCACACCAATCTGATACAAAGGAAAACAAAATTTCCAAAACCAAAAAGTTAAAGTTCACCTTAGACTCACTGTATCTGTAATCAAACGCAGTACTTCTCACTAGCTCAATTTTGTTCTACGACCTGCGCAATGAATGAAATCAACTCCTAATCGAACTCTCCGGGGCACCCCCGACGCTGCCTTTGTACTTGTGTGCCACGGCCACTGCACCACTCGGTCCCGTTTCAATGACCTTCTCATGCCCCCACGCCCTCTTTCCTCTCCACTGTCTGTGCTTGGATTCAGGCCTTCCTCACATCTCTCCTAGATTCCAGCAGTGGACTTGTAAAATGGTCTAACTGTCTCCAGTCTCTCCCTAAACCAGTCTACTTTGCAATAACTGACGAAAAGGGTGGAGCCACAGATTGCTGTTTGTAAAGAAGATTCTCTCTGGTTACATTTCGCCTATTAAAATCCCCCAATGACTTCAGGTCACCTACGCGTCAGGATCCAAACTCAACAAAACGTGGGAGACTCAATACTACCTGACTCTGGCAATCCTTCCCTCTCCACTCAGTATTCCACCATGTACGCACTCTACACGTTAGCCCTTTACGTCATCTACAGCCCCTTAGGAAGGCCTGCACTACTCCAAGCCTTTCCCACGCTACTTGTTCCGACCCCAGGGCCTTTCCCAACCTGCCTGTCTGTGGACTTTCTATTTCCTATATCGTCTGCCAGTTCAAAGTTTCACTCTCAAATCCACTTCATATAAACGTCTACCATCACTTATCTCGCTATGTCAGAGCTTTACGTTTATGTATACGTCCTGTTATTCATAGCCTATGAGCCGACAAGTCATCACTAGTATGCTCAGTATAAAACAAGGTTAAGAAAAATTTGACGATTAGATGGTTAGATACATAAAACAAGCAACGCTATAAAGAAATATAAATAGCACCTTCAAAATTAACTTGAAAATGGAAAAAATAATGAGAATATTACAGTTAAGAAAATATATCTCCACTCAAAGAGCACATAAAACTTTTCTATATTGGAAATAAGTTCTATGACACATCAAAGTGATTAGCTCATATGAAAAACTTAGGCTGCTAGACAGACTCTAACAACATAATTAGGACTTTAATATCACCCAGCAAGAAAAATAATATTTTAATTTCTTAAATTCAAACTACAGATATTCTATCATATTCTATATTAAATGACATACACATTAGTTTAAAAAGAAAGAGGGGTTCAAAAGTTAGTTTGTATAGGAAATTTAACTCCTTATAGTTACCCATTGTAACATTAGAAAAGTGGAAGTTATCGATAAAAATCAGATAAAATCAAGTTCATCAAAATATTACCTGAATCTTTCTTTTCTTCTTTTCTCTTTTTACCGCTAAATTTTTCTTCACCATCTGTTTCACCAAACAACATTTCAGGTATCTACAGCACACAGAACATTTTTTTAAAACTCAAGTCTGGGTTGCGAGTACAGCTCAGTGCAAGAGTGTCTGCCTATCACTCAGGAAGACCTGCGCTTAATCCCCAGCATCATTCAAAAAAAATTAAAACTCAAATCGGTATTAAAAGGTTCAACTGTATCCAATATCAAAGGTTAACAACATTCGAAAACAAAAAAAAAAAGTATCAATTGTACTTTTCTTCTTTCTAGACTAAGAGAAAAAAGCATATTAATTTTTAAAAGACATTATTTGCTAGACCTTTGACATTTAGTAACTGTTGACTGTAAATTAATGGCACAGATGAAAAAGCTCCAATATCTCACTTAAAATTATTTGATGATATGAAATGAAGAGTACTATAATTTGGATTGGATAGAAAATATCATTTAGGGGCTGCTGGGGATTTAGCTCAGCGGCAAAGTGCCTGCCTGGCAAGCGCAAGGTCGTGAGTTTGGTTCCCGGTACCGGAGAAAAACAAACAAACAAAAAAAAAACAAAAAAAGAAAATATCATTTAAGGTCATACAGTTGATAAAAATAAAATGTTTCATTTGACATTGAACAAAATAAGGGCACCGCAGGGGAACAAAGATTCCTAGCTTTTTAAAAGAATAAATAAATATTTCTTTTTAAAAGAAATAAAATTAAATGAAAATAATTTCATAAGTGATAGTCCATAATTTCATAATTGGGTATTCTAAAATTGTTTCCTAGCCATAGCTAAGTTTTTGCCACTATAACAAGCAAATAATGTTTTACAAACAGCTAGCCTATTATTAAAGAAAATATGATTACTTCATAGGAATACTACATGGTAATATACAAAAGAAAACAAGTTTTCTGGAGAAAAATTAATAAAAAATTATAATTAAGCCAAACAACATCCTTTTCATTCACTAACTGCTAATGTTAATAGTAAAAAAATATAAATAATCTAGATAATTAAGAAAAAACAATTCATTAAAGTTTCTCAGACAAAATAAAATTTAACCCAAGAGAACCCTTAACATGCACAGAAGGTGTCATTGTTCTTGAGCCAGAGAATGTTTCTTTCTCCACTACTTTCACTGACAAAAGAGCAGCCTCTGTGAGAATATTTTAAATTGACACTTTTAAGTCGTAAAAATTTGCTTCTTTGGAAACTCACTGCTTTAAAACAACCTATCCTTAACTATTTTACATTAGTAAACTTTCCCTACCAGATTGACCTACACTCCCCTTTGCCTCCATTTTCTCTTCTTTGAAATTAAAATGACACTTTATAAAAAGTTACATAGATAGATTAACTTTATTAATTGACATTCTAATCTATTACATATATTGTTACATCAAACATTGCCTGGATTGTATGAACCCTTTCAAAATAACTTTCGACCACTTCCAGTTGTTTAGTCAATAAAATTAAAAGTAAGTCACAGCACTGAAGAGCTTCCTTCATCAGCCGGCCCGGGTTTGCATCACGTCTCCCACACGCAATGCTCTGCACGCTCCGCGCAGCAGCCGCATGAATTCCCGTCACCCCAGCCTTCCGTACATCATCCAGGCCCTGAGCCAAGGCCTGCAAGGTGAGGCAGGTCCTCCTCTCCCTCATCTTTATTCCAAAACCATCCTCACTGAACTCCCCAAATTAAATTTCCGTATTATCAAACCACAGCAATCATTAACCCTCCTGTTCCACACATTTACCCAAATAATGATTCTTCATTCCTCAAATTACTTTAACTCTTGTCTCACTGTCACTGTCTCCAAAATAATTTCCATCTTTTTTCTCAGTGATATCAATATTCATTAGCGATAATCCTTCCAACAATCCTCATTCCTTAAACTCAATTCCTTCGACTTCTCTCCTCCTGCCTACCACCTCGCAGTCATCCATTCAGACTTAGTTATATCCTGAGATCCATCTCATCATTAATCATAGCTGAAACCCTTTCGTAATGACTTGAACATCCCACTCATCACACTGTCTCCCCAGCTCCCCCTCCCCTTCATGGCATCCATAAGCCCCAGACTCCGCTGAACCACACCGCCACTATTAATTCCACCACCTTTTGACCGGCAGCCACCCTCCTTCTACCCTAACTTACCTACTCACCTTACACTCAACTTACATTCCACGCTAAATCCCAGCAATTACATTTTTACTCCCAGCTCCCTTGCCTTTCACTTGCAGTATCATATTCAAGTAGCAAAACTCCAGGCTTGGACCTGTTCGAGTCACCACTGACTCCAGGTCTGCGCCTAAGAATGCACACAGGTGGCAAAACACACAGCTACGCTGACTGGACTCGAATGAACTTTAGGATCACCCGCCTGGAATGAATTTTGATTCCACCTACCTAGCACACTCTCTCCCCCCAGCCTGATCACTCTTTCACCCTCACGAACAACTATTGTGTATATATATCTTCTTGTATCTCTTCAGGCTTTGAAAACCTCCGTCATCACTTCTCTAAACTGAGAATCTTACTCCTGACCTCACTGAGGAAACAGAAAAGAGTATCCGAACTTTCCCAATGCCGCAGCTTTCCACCTCTGCAGGCCTGTGAACTGTTATCCCGTTATCTTTCTGGGTAACCTTTAAGTCACCCCTTTGTGCCCTAGACCCACGTGCACCCATTAGTCAGTGACAGTGCTGCTCCACCCGTCTTCCCCATCCCTTCTGTCTCACATACATTTGGCTTCCCCACTAATTCCTAATGCCAGAGGAACACGCTATAGTTTGTCTACCTTTTAAAAATCTATCTTTTACTTACTTTCTTCAATTCCTGATCCATTCCTCTTTCCCTGTAAGCAAATGTCTTCCAAAGAGTTATCCAGGTAATTCTTTTTTTTTTCAGCAGCACTGGGGACTGCACCCAGGACCTGAACTGAGTTACATCCCGGCCTTTTCTTTGTGGGGGCTCCTCACTAAGTCACTAAATTCCCCAGGCTGGGCTCAAATTCATGATCCTCCTGCCCCAGCCTCTGAGAGTGCTGGGTTACATGCACCATATAAAAAACCTAAAGTATTAACAAATAAAACAGCAAAATAAAGGTAGGAGACAAAAATACAGACTGGAAATGGGGAAGGGGGCCAAATGCTAGGAGAAATTGCCAGGGAAAGGGGTAAAGGGATAAAAACTGATCAAGACATATTGTATGTGTGTACCCATTCCCCCAAACTACTGTGTACTATAAAACACATGAATGAAATTTTTAAATGTCAAAAGAGAGTTGCCCACATTCACTGTCTCAAATCCACTCTCCCCTCTCCTTTTCTGACACGTACTGCAGTATGGCTTTTTCCACTCCTAACTGCAACTGCCTTACCAAAGTCACTAATGAATTCCACAGCGACTCTCCATCACTTTCCAGCCCTCGCCTGCTTTTTCACATACCGTATTTCACTATTCCTTTCTCCTCTGTGTATGTGCTGCCCAGGTGTTATGGATTGTGTCTGTGTGTCCCCCCCAAAGCCTCATGGGGTCATGGGGCAGGCTTTTAGAGTTTGATTGATTATGGTTGTGAGAGCTGCACCCGCCCTGGGGTGGATAGTTTGCATATGTAAGGGAGAGCAAGAGGCTGCTTGTGGCGATTCCTGGCTTTTGTGCTTGTTGTTTTTGCTGTGTTCTGCCGCCATGAGCTGTAGCCCTCTGCCATGTGCCACTCTGCCTTGTAACCTGCCAAGTATAGACTGAAGCCTCCACAAACTGTAAGCAAAATAAACCTTTGCTTCCTTAATTGTGGGCGTCAGGTATTTTGTCCCAGCAGCGAGAAAAAAGTAACCGAGACACCAAGCAAGCACATCCTTTCTCCTCTGCAACGATGCCTCCCCTCGGCTTCTACAATACTACCCCGCCTTGCTTGTCTTCATATTTCCCTAGCAGCTCCCTCTCGAGTTTCTGATGGGTCCTTCTCTTCATTCTCCCAACTTCTTCATGCTGAAATGCCTCAGTGTTCAGTCTTTGGATTACGGCTCTCTTTGGTGGACACTCACTCTCTTCTTCCCAGTCATCCTCACAGCTTTAAGTGCCAGCATAATCTGACCATTCTGATACGTTTGCTCACTGATACCTGCTCCCAGAAGTCCAGGCCCATACACTCTGAACTTTGTGACTTGGAGGTATGACACCATATTTTACACATCTAAATCTGGAAACCTCATGTTTTCCTCTCAACATGCTCATCTCAGCTGATGGCCATTCCATCCTTCCGGTCACAGAAGTCAAAACATCTAGATGCAGCCTTGACTTCTTTTCACCTATACTTTATCACAATCTGTCCGAAAATCCTGTTGTCCCACTGCAAAACATATCCAGAATCCAAGCACCTACCATCACCTCCCACTGGAGATTTAGCAATCTACTGTTCAAACCATCATCCTTTTCTCTCAGCTGGACTACTGCAGCACTTTTTAACTGCTTCCACCCTTGCCTCCTAATCTACTCTCAACCTTGCAACAAGAGTGATCTCATTAAAACATGAGTCAAAACATTTTTTGCTCAAAAGCCTCAAGGAGTAAGTTCTCAGAAAAAGTTAAAATCCTTATAATGGCTTACAAAACACTGCCCAGTCTCCTATTTCTCTGACCACATCTCCCACTACCCTTCCCATCTCACCCTGCCCCTGGTGAGGGACTTCTTGCCAAGCCTAAAAGTCATCAGACATGCTCTCAGTTCTGACTCTCCACGTAGAAAGCGTTCCCTCTCCTCCCTGTGACAAGATGTAAAACTCCATGAGGGCAGGGTCTGTGGTTTTTTTTCTCCCTACTATCTCTTCAGTATATAGAATGGCGAGAGATATTATACATCCAATAATCATCTCTTACAAGTGAATGCCTCTATTTCTGGCATCTCCTCAAACTAAAATACTTTTATCTACTTAATGAAATCTAACTAAAAGAGTCTCAACTGTAAAGTTTTGTCTATTATCTCAAATTATACGCTTTTCTCTGAATCGTAACAGCTACTCATTTGTATTTCTATCACAAATAGTGAAATGAATGGCTGGGTTTATGAATATCATTGAAGGGACAATGTTGTAAACTATTCTTTATTGAAATAAAACAAAACAAGAGGCTCATAGTTAAACAGTGCTGAATTCACATTTCAAGCTTATTCCCTTCCAAATAAACAGTATGGCAATTATAAATTGAAAAAAAAAATTGTTTAATTTAATTGGAAAATTATTGCTATGATTTTTTAAATTTTTGGGTAATCTATGATAGGATAAAAAAATTAAAGGCACAAAATTTTAAAGTATGATACTTATTTGGTTGGTCCTTAATTAAGAATACAATTCTCAATCTAAAATTATATACTCAACCTATCAATAAGAAAAAAAAGATACCAGATATTTTCAAACAGGAGAGAGATGTTCAGTGCCACAATTAAGGTGACTTTAAAACTAACACCAAAGGGGCTGGGGATTTAGCTCAGTGGCAAAAGCGCCTGCCTGGCAAGTGCAAGGTTGTGAGTTCGGTTCCCGGTACCGGAGAAAAACCAAAAAAAA